ATTTGAACTCTGGTGGATAGTTGTCTCATTGGCAATCATACCACATCTCCTTATTCTTATATTGAAGATAAATATAATACAATATCCATTATAAATTGCTTTTAATATGATTTTTTTTACAAATCTATTTTTAGTTTTCATTCTCTCCATAAGACCTCCCTAAGTTTTCCCTACACATTAAATATGTACAAGTCCTGTGCTAGAGCTTTCAACTATAACAACTTTACAAACAAAACATAATAACTAGTTTACTGACAAACTGATATAGACTGCACTGAAAAAAGGGTCAAGATCAGATAAATTTGTATTTTTACTGATAAATGGACTTCTGCAGTCAATAATCAGGTGCAATTGAAATGGTCTATTATATGCAATTTGATGTATCCTACTTGGATATCTAAACATAAAAACCCAAATAGAATAGATGTGGAAAGTAGGTGGAGCTTAGCCATGGTACAACATGTTCATTTTGATGTTATTCCATGACTGATGCTCAATCCTTATTTCTGAAAGATATCCACCTCTCAACTTTTTAGGAAACTGAAAAAAACTAAAATATCATGAACATTTATTTGTTTTCATTTTATAATACTAGAGGCTCTAAAGAGCCTGTGTCGCTCACCTGCATCTTCAACTATGGTCACTTTTTAGTAAACACCATCATTAAATGGGAATAACTCTATTAAGAGTTTACTGACAATTTCAGTCATGTTGATATTTTGTAAATCTTATCCTGCTGACAATTTTTCTTTCTAAAGTTTCTATCTATCTATTATAGTTTTCATGTTAAAAGGCAAAAAGTGCAAAAAAAATGTAAAAATTATCATTAAAGGGCAATAACTCCAATAATGAGTTGACTAAAGATTGTGACTATAATGGCTTATTTGTTGATCTTGTCTTGCTGATCATTTTTGCTATTTAGAGTTTCTATCTATCTATTACAGTTTTCAAGATATTAGGCAAAAACACAAAATTTGGTAAAAATCGTCATCAAGGGCAATAACTCTAAAAAGGAGTCTCCTGACGATTTTGGTCTTGTTGATTTATAGGAGATCTTGTCTTGCTGATGATTTTTAATATTAAAAGTTTCTGTCTATCTTTTATATTTTTTGAGATAATAGGGAAAAAGTTTTAAAAATGGTAAAATTCGTCATTTAAGGGCAATAACTCCTATAAGAAGCTGTCTTACAGTTTTGATTCAAATAGACAAAAGTTAGAGCACAACATTCAGAACCTTTTTGCCTCTGTCAAAATTTCTATGTTTATAGTGGTTTTCAAAATAATAGGCAAAACTTGCATTTCACCTCTATGTTCTATTTCTAGCCATGTCGGTCAACAAGCAGGGTCATCGGACACATTTTTTAAACTAGATACCCCAATGATGATTGCGGTTTCAGAGGAGAAGATTTTTGTAAAAAGTAACGGAAGACGACGACGGACACCAAGTGATGAGAAAAGCTCACTTGGCCTTTTGACTATAAAACAATTGAAAAACACAATACATCTCAAGAAACATTGTGATTCTTTCTTTTTAATCCTGAATTTTCTATTTCAGTTTTGCCTTAAATTTGGAAAAAAGGACTAAAAGTTTCTTATTTCAGTTCTGACAAAATAAAAAAGTGTTCCATTTTGGAAATTCAATTACAACTTATTTAAGTGAAATCAAAATTGTGGCATAGAAATTAAAAATGTACTGGATATCACTTTAGATTTTGGTCGTCACAACTTGAGATAATTGAATATCTTCCTCTATTTTGACTTGTGAAATCTGAATATCAATTTCAATGTCAGGTGCAATTTGAAAGAGTACTTTTTCCATTAAATCTAGCAAAGCAGGAAAATCTGTAATTTTATTCAGTTTTAAGGATGCTTACAAATCTATGCAGATGATCATATATAGTTTGCAATACTGATCTGCATGAGCTTCTCTCATTGGATAAAACATAATGTGACCAGTGTCTTATATTAGTTAAAGCATTTGTATCACAAATCATATATACCATGTGTCTTAATGATTTACATAATTAAACAAACTCATCCTTCTGATTTGTTTGATTAAATATGTAAACTGATAAGAACCATGGTTTATACAGTCGAACCTCGTTGTGTCGAACTCGGTTGTGTCGAAAACTCGGATGAGTCGAAGAAATTTCTCGGTCCAGGTAAAATTCCCGTTTGATCAATGCATAATTACCTCTGATGAGTCGAACTCGGTTGATTCGAATACTCGGTTTAGTCGAGTACATTTTATAGTCCCGTCGAAGTAAAATTAATGTAAATTGACCCCGATGTCTCGAAGTTCGAAAGTAAGAATTTTCGAAAGATGCAGACCTAATGATAAAATTCAAATCGGATGTATTTCTTATGTCACCTAATCATTTTCAAAAGAGATTAAAGCTGAGTAAATATACATGTTTGTATAACAGTTAAAATGACATGTTTATGGTGACCGCTAATTAACACGTGACCGCTAATTAACACCTTTGTTAATCGTTCAAGCGGACTGTTAGTGTGTTGAACATTTTTCACCTGAGATAAAAACGAAACAAATTTAAATGACCTAAGCCGAGATTAAATGAATCGTTAGATTTAAACTCATTAATTACAATAAATAAAAGGATTAGGACAATTATAATAAATTCATGATAATTTAATGTAAAGCAGACGACCTCATCAGAGACCGTTCAAAACTTATTTCGTACCGCGAGTGATTTCATAATTTATAGTGACTGACCTTTGTAAATAAATGTGTAGACTATTAATTTTACTTGAGCATGATTTGTATCTGTACTTTTGTGTTTAATTATTACGAAGGACCAAAAATGGAGATTGAATACACAATCATAAAGTGTCATATCGAAAAAAAGGCACACTGTTCATTGTATCTAGTTTACACAAATCTCATACCATATTTCATGCATTCCAAATTGATGACGACACACTTGACCTCGGATGAGTCGAACCTCGGATGAGTCGAATACTTTGGTCCGGTCCCTTCGACTTCGACACAACGAGGTTCGACTGTATTTCATTTTTAGCTCACCTGGCCCAAAGGGCCAAGTGAGCTTTTCTCATCACTTGGCGTGCGTCTTCCATCGTCGTTAACTTTTACAAAAATCTTCTCCTCTGACACAACTGGGCCAAATTTAAACAAACTTGGCCACAATCATCATTGGGATATCTAGTTTAAAAATTTGTCCGATGACCCAGCCCGCCAACCAAGATGGCCGCCATGGCTTTAAATAGAACATAGGGGTAAAATGTAGATTTTGTCTATTATCTCTGAAACCAAAGCATTTAGAGCAAATCTGAAAAAAAATTAAAAATTAAAAAATAAAATTGTTCAGCATGTTAAGATCTATCTGCCCTGAAATTTTCAAACAAATCAGACCACCCGTTATTGGGTTGCTGCCCCTGAATTGGTAATTTTAAGGAAATTTTGCAGTTTTTGGTTATTATCTTGAATATTATTATAGATAGAGATAAACTGTAAGCAGTAATAATGTTCAGCAAAGTAAGATCTACAAATAAGTCAACATGACCAAAATGGTCAATTGACCCCTTAAGGAGTTATTGCCCTTTATAGTCAATTTTTAACAATTTTTTGTAAATTTTTGTAATCTTTTATTAAATCTTCTCTTCTGAAACTACAAAGACAAATTCAACCAAACTTGGCCACAATCATCTTTCGGGTATCTATTTTATAAAATGTGTCTGATGACCCCCACCTGCTAGCCAACATGGCCGCCATGGCTAAAAATAGAACATAGGGGAAAAATACAGTTTTTGGCTTATAACTTTGAAACTTAAGCGTTTAGAGCAAATCTGATATGGGTAAAATTGTTCAGCAGGTTAAGATCTATCTTCCCTGAAATTTTCAAAGGAATCAGAAAACCTGTTGTGGGGTTGCTGCCCCTGAATTGGTAATTTTAAGGAAATTTTGCAATTTTTGGTTATTATCGTGAATATTATTATAGATAGAGATAAACTGTAAACAGCAATAATGTTCAGCAAAGTAAGACCTACAAATAATTCAACAAGACCAAAATTGTCAATTGACCTCTTAAGGAGTTATTGCCCTTAATAGTCAATTTTTAACAATTTTTTCGTAAATTTTTGTTATCTTTTTACAAAAATCTTCTCCTCTGAAACTACATAGACAAATTTAAACAAAATTGGCCACAATCATCATTAGGGTATCGAGTTTAAAAAATTAATCCGATGACCCCGCCTGCCAACCAACATGGCCGATATGGCTAAAAATAGAACATAGGGGTAAAATGCAGTTTTTGGCTTATATCTGAAACGAAAGCAATAGTATAATGGTTGCATTATTTCATGCATCAATTTTAAACAAAAATATCAGGTGAGCGACACAGGCTCCTTGGAGCCTCTAGTTCAATTACCTCTCAAAATTATCAATCCAAAATGATAGTTATGTCCCAATAATAGACTATCAACAAGTAAGCCAAATATCTGTTCTATCCACTGTTTATACCACATTATGGATAAACCTTACTTCAGATGATTAAGATAGGGAATTTTCTTTTTCAAGGAATTAAATTAGCCGCAACACTTAATGCAAGTTCTATAATATTGATGAACAGAGGAAATAATGGCAAGAGCTGATGGCTTTGTCAAATATTGAAATTTGATCAGGTACCTTGTTTATTGTCTACAGCTACTGCCATCTAATATGTAACTTTATAATATTTGTTAATGTAGCAATGCTAGAAATAAACCCTTATATCTTTTGTCTAGTACTTCATGACAGTTAAACATGAAATATCTATATAATAAACAATTTATAATCGCTTTTGATGTTGCTGTTTTATAGTCCACCAAGTTCATTTCATTGTTTTTTTCTTAATCTGAACTATACTGATAATTATCTCAAGGTTTTGGACTACACTGTCACTGATAATACATTTCTCAAGGTTTTGGACTACACTGTCACTGATAATACCTTTCTCAAGGTTTTGGACTATACTGATACCTACTTCATGGTTATGGCTTGTATCACACTGTAGTTTCCCATCTTTATCAACAGGACAAGGTCCCTATAAAATACAAGCAATAGTTACATGCAGAGAAGCCATGCCTGCAGTTTACTGCAAAACCCTTTAAATTAAAAAAAAAAGAAGATTTTTCCAATCCAATAAATACATGTCAAAACTCCATACAATCTTTCTTTTTTTTTTACTGATAACTAAATTCCAGATTCAATAAGTAGTTTTGAGTTGAGTTGTTGCAGTAAATAATTTATTCAGCAGCGCAGAATGGATATAAAACATAACAAAAGTTTGAACTAAAGCAAGATAACAAATACTCAAACCTTGACAATCAGGGACATAATACAAAAGTAAAGATATGAGGTATGATAACAATTAATACCAGAACACTGGCAGTAAATGCAAGAAAATTGTCAGGTAGTTCCATTACAAATACTGTACACCAAATTTTTTCGTAGATACTTTTATATGTATAGTCCTTTCAGCCAATTTTGAGGCAATTTATTTTTCTCAACAAACTTTGTTTGTGTATTCATACAAAGGAAGATCAAAGTTTGACACATATTTTCATGTTATTTTTTCTACTTGAACAAAAGAGAAAATAAATTTCTCGTGAGTATAAGTTGGTTTACAGTAGTTAATAAAAATTTCCGTAACATTAATACTTTACCACTTTTAATATGATCTCAAGGATACATATATTCATGCACTTAAAAAATGTATAAACTTTGTTTGTGTGACATGCAGCATGTCAATAAATAGATTAAACTCTACAGTGCATTCATTATCTGAAGTTGTTTACACTTGAAATAGATTACAATGAAAGAACACTGTTTCAAACTGTTCTTAGCTGATTACAATTGAACAACACTACTGTCAAATAAAAGTGTTGAAGGGTCATTACTCCTGAATACATTATGATTCTGGACACATCCTACATAATACTGTGTGCTATCAGGGATTCTGTATTCCAACAAAGATTAGGCATACATTTATAGGCAAAAGAAATGATCCCAAGAATATAATCATATGGGATTCAGAGAAAATTTTAAAGAGTTTTAACTCATGAAACTGCTAAATAACTACCATATCATCAACTAAACATCTTGACTAAATATCAATCTTAGTATGATGAGACTATGATATTTCAGAGAAGTTCCATTCATAACGTATTACTTTTTGCATAGACATAACAGTGTTATTAAGGAATATTTCATTCTAAGATCTGCACATTTAAATGGCAGGATAATAAGTAATTAATTATCATACTAGAAAATCTGACCAAAGATAAGATTGATTGATTGATTGATTGTTGGTGTATAAGGCCACTTTCAGCACTCTTGGCTATATCATGGCAGCAAGTTTTTTAGGGGGGGAGAAGCCTGAGTGGTCAGAGAGAACACTGACCATTGGCAGGAAAACTGGCTATCCTAGTTACTTAAGATCAGAGTCAAACACATACTTTGACCAATCAGACATTGAGGCCCCTGATGAAAAATACTAGATTAATATTATTCACTAAACATCTTGACCAAATATCCATCTAAATATGAGAAGTATCCAAAAATATTTCAGAGAAGTTCCATTGATAAGATTAAACTATTTATATCAAATTTCCATTAAATGACAGGACTGAAGTTCTTTGAAGATTCACCTTTGTTTCTCTTCCCATTTTATAATCTGGATAACCAAACAGTAACCAGGAAACATAAGCAAAGAAAAAACAGTACTGGGGTATTTACCAATAATAAAGATACAAAAAATTGTCTCTCTTTCCTTGCAAGAGGAAATGTATCTAGCATTTGGTTACAGTGGGGAAATAAAAAAAATTTCAGTTTAAAAAAAAAGCATAAGAAATGCTTGAAAACTTAGAAATATAATATATTTGCTGGTTCTTCAAAGAGAACAAGCCCAACCAGTCAAACAAAGCATGCCACATTAAAGCCAGTATAATGCACAGATAGTTCAATATACCACAAAAATCATGGACTCATATAAACAACATGCCACAGATACTCCATTATTATTTAATCCAATAGATATCATGCTACCTTTAATCCATATCCACATCCAGGTAGAGGTAGACCGTTGTCTCCAACAGGACATGGGGCATCTAACCCAGGACTACCCTGTTTTTACAAATTGTATCCGAATGTAGACAAAAAATTATCAAACAGACTTTATGAAGAAAGAAATAGTTGACATTCTTTTTGAAGAAACAAATAGCCAACATTCTTATGAAAAAACAAATAGTCAAATAAATAGATAGAAAGACTAAAATAAAATATTATCAAATATTAGAAGTATTACTGGTAGTTAAGTATTATTTGAAATCAAAGACTCGAGAAGATGAACCTACCGAAGGTCCTCTGTCTCCTGTAGGTCCTTTCTTTCCTCTCTTTCCTCTTCTTCCCTGTTTATAAACAATATAAATATTATTATGACCTTTCAACAAAACTTGTACTGCATGATATAGAAAATAAAAAAAAAATTTATTATTTCATAAAATCTACCATCAAAGGGAGATAAGTCATTAAATTTAGTTAGTTTTACATCAAATTTCAGAACTGTATTTATTCAATGTATTGTAAACTTTTAGTGGGAGGGTGATTGAATTTTCCTTAAGAGCTGCTTTTTTTTATTGTATTTGTCAATTTCAACAGGTTAATACATAAATTGTCATGTGATATTATTAGATTATTACATGGCATTTTTCATATCAAATGTATTATCAGCCCTCGAGCCGAAGCATTTTTCATATCAGATGTATTATCAGCCCAAGGTCCAATATTAGCTCAAGAGCCGAAGGCTCGAGGGCTGATATTGACCGAGGGCTGATAATACATCTGATATGAAAAATGACATGTTATGATCTTTTTATCATATGCTTCAACAATGGAGAAAAATAACAGTTTAATATATTAATCCTTTTAAGTGGTTCTGAAGTAGAAGTTCAAAAAGTGAAAAGTTTACGGACTTCGGAAGCCAAATGTAATACATCCGATATGAAATATTTCTATCATATGCCTCAACAGAGGAGACAAACAACAGTATGATATATCTTTATATTGAGGATAAACAAAAATTCAACACAACACAATGCACATTGTTTGGAAAAGTCAACATTTGTAAAGTAACTTTCTAAATTATGATGGAAACTTTGAAAAATGCATTGGTTGTATCATTTTTTTTTTTTTTTTTTTTTTGCATTTTACATAATATATTTTCCTGTTTCTTACTAATTGTTTTGTACCCTACTTTGTTATGTTTTTCACTGAAAACGTACCATTGAGGTGTATTTTCTGGAATTTGCCGAGTAACGCCGGAATGCCATGCGATAACGTTACGGAAAGGCATGTGATAATAGCTGGAGGCATGGGATAAAATTTTCATATCAGCCCGCTAAACACCATTTCGGAAAATATGGAATTCAGGTAAATTTAATGCTATTATCATACTGTAAAAATTATAAGTTATTAACTCTAAGTATATGATAATATCTGTTATTTCAATTTTAAAAGAAGACCCTATTTGAGACATATATTAATGTTCGAAATAAAACTGGTGTCTTTCAGAGGCCTGCCTCATTTACAAAAAAATGCTACCAATTTAAGTGTGCCAGCTCATGATTATCATGGAATACCATCAACAGGAACACTGTCGAGAGTAGGGGAATTAAGTGAGGACAGTAACTGAAAAGGAACAGGTTTATGAGAATTATGATAAATTACAAGCATACTTTTAAAACTCTGTAATAGTATCAAAATAGACTGTGAAATAACTGACAAATAAAAAAGCAACATTTTTAGCATACAATTCATAACTGATGGGAAATGGTAACCTTGTTCCTGGCTTTGGAAAATTTAAACCAAATTATTTGGTATTAAATCTCCCTTTGCCTCGTAATTGTCAAGAAATAAAAATGGCAGTAATAAGTTACCCTTTCTCCTTTTTCTCCCTTTTCACAAGTACATACACCATCAACTGTTGCCATGGGTCCAGGAGGTCCTGGTGGCCCCTAAATTTAAACATAAAATATCAAAGTTTCAAGACATTTTTTTCTTTTTATCATAATTTGTAAACAGTAAATGACTATGTAATTATTTTTTTAAAGAAAATAATATGAAACTAAAAAATAGGAAATTTGCTTGCAATAAAAAAAAAGGTCAAATACAATGAAAAAATCAGAAAGAAAAAAAATACTCTCAACTTTAAATCTAGTATTTTAATCATCTATAGCACATAAAACATACAAATTCTCGAGAAAAGAAAATGAAAAAAGACATTGCTTAATTAAATATAAAAAAAAAACACAACCTTTCAAATTTACAAGCCAGGACAACTAAGATTTAAATTTTAGTATACACTATATGACATACAATCATATAATAACAATACTGATATAAGATATAGCCATTGTTAGTTATTTGATATACATCACATGAGAGTTGCAAGATGTGAATCACAAACATAAAAATCAAACAGATATACATGTATTACTAAACAAAAACAAAAACAGTAACGAGGACTAGGAGATAAAAGCTAAAATAGATAAATAAGCAATGCTTTCATCATGATATCTGTGACAACTTCTGGATGGTTAAAACCAAATATGTCATCAAGTTTTGCTTCAATAAAAATATAAAAATGCTGAAAGGCAAAAAAGGGTAAGCATTCCCTTGACAAAAACTGCATTGAACTTGTGCGACATACTGTAATAGTTATACTTGTAAAAACTTATACAATAGAAGGTTACGTAACATTAATTATCTAGCTTTAGATGCATTCTTTCAAAATACTCCCCCCCCCCCCCCCCCCCATCTTTTTTCCACAATAAAGAAATATTTCAATGATTGAAGACAACTGTTTCTAATGGGACACAATAATAATTCTGACTAGGAATGGAAAATTATTTAAGGCAAGTACTGGCTTTGTAAGAAAGGAAGAACTATAAAAAGAGCCGTGAGGCTGATGCCACAACCAATATTCATATTGAATGTGACCTATATTTTATGTTTCATAACATTGTGTTTAAATCTTAAATATTTTTGTAAGATTGTTCTTCAGTTAACAGCTAGAAATTTGTTTAAATCTAATTTTAAGGTAACTAAGGAGCATAAGTCTTAACATGTACACTTATTAAGAGTTATTCCCCATTTCTTTGGTTCCTGGATGATTTTTTTAAAACTTGAAAATAATGACAACTATAAAATACAGGTCAAGTTTGATTTTGATATTTTTCACGTGTACCTCCCAAACTCAAGGCAAAAATGCTACCACAAGACCACTGAGGGCAGTCCCCCTCTTTGAAGTGGGGTACAAAAATATTAACACTGATATCTTAAGCACTTATGCCTTGTAAACATCTAAAGGATATCATTCAATATATTGATAATACTCTTATTTTCTTAAATCAAAACTCCAAAACAGCGGCCTGATCATACTTTCTTCTTTGCTAATGCCTTTTGATTGTTTTTTTTTTATTCTTGATGGTTATAGAAAAGGAGATTCTCAAACATGAACAAACGTATGACAATGAAGGTCTAACATGAGAGTAGCTAGAACTTGTCCTTTGTCATAGTTCACTTTTATAAAAACACTGAGAACCAGATAATTAATTTTACATGGCCTAATTTGAACATACAACTTGAGATGCAGCATTTATATGAACATTCATGCTGTAACATTGACTCACCACAGGACCATGTTGTCCATCAGCGCCCGCTGGGCCAGAATCTCCTTGAGGCCCCTGCGCTCCCTACATCATACATAGCAAGCAAACAAATGAATTTAGCAACATAAAAAAACAAATACTACATGCAGCTCACATTTTATAAATATTAAGACTCAAAAATATTTCATTGGAGACTAACAAACATGGATTGTTATCAAGAATGCAAAGCTAATTCATTCTCTGTATGATAAATAGACAGATATATATCCATTTAAAAGATAAATTAAATTTCAAATGAATACTGCAAAACAAATTACTTTACCTACTTAAAAGAAATATTTCATTCTAATGCAATGTTTTGGTATCAATGGATATGACTGGATAAAGACAAATTTTATTAAATTCTGAAGCGTACCTATGATGTCAGATAGTTTAGATGTCGATGAAATGTTTTGTTCATTTTTGCTATTTTTATTTGTTTTACTGTTACCTTAGTTCTCTACTATTTACTAGGCAAATAAAATTTGCGACAATAAAACCTATGATTTACATAGGCAAAGCTTTAAATACAATATAGTTATTTTGTAATTCTCAATTCTCCATTCAGATAATATTGACCTTACTCAGTTACAATTTCAAATAGGAAAAAGATTAAGTTCTTCATTGGATATTGTAATTCATTCTAACATTGACCAAATTATTGAAAGGTTAAGTCACTTACAGGTAATCCAATTGGTCCAATGAGGCCTGTTTTGCCCTTTTCACCCTGTAATACATGTATGTATATATAAATTTCAGTTGCATTGGATCATGGGTAACTCCTTTATATCTCAGAAACTGGAACACAATGTGTAAAAATAATTTCTGAAAACAAATCTTTGTCAATACAATTTTCTACTCTTTTTAACCCTTTTTGAAATCTTATAATCTACAACATGTTTTGTTCAGAACATGGAATATTTGTTAACAAGATTAAATGTTACTGCTGGGACATAATAATTGTCAGAATTATAACAATGACACCATTACATCATCATGGTGGTCTTGACCCAACCTCAAGTGTATGATGTTGTGGATTCACATAGTAAAGCCAAAAGACTGGAAAATTGATGTTTGGTCATCATTCTATATACATGTTTCATAAAAGGAAAAACAGGTAAGCATGGAGCCAGAATAACGTGCCCAGAAATGTATACAAACACCAAAAGGGCAATAAAAAAATCATGAAAAGGACAAACAACACAATGGCCAATAAAACAGACAAAAATAAACAGCTGTGCCAAGAGTGCACGATACCCCTTATTGTGAATATTAAAATTGTTGCAAAAATAAAATGGGACATTTAGAAGGCATTTAATCAGAGGTAAATAGAATGGGTCAGTAAAAAAATATTCATGAGAATACCCAGTATTGTGTCAAATATGACTGTTAAAAGTCCCATAATTACAAAACCACACAATTTTTAAAATCAAAAGCCTGTCTACATTCACTAATCCCAACAATAGTTAAAAGTTTGTAGTTATTTGATCCAAGCATATTAGAGCAAGTGCATAACATTATAAAAAAAAAATGCTTTTATTTATCTGACAGTCAAAGTCTCTGGAATGACATATCAGATTTTTCTTAAAAATCAAAAGGTGTGTAATATTCACCAATTCCCAAAATTATGTAAAGTTTCCAGCAAATCAATCCATGCAAACTCAAGTTATGGTACAACATATGAAAAAAATTATCTTAATCTGCCAATTTTTAAAAGTCCTGTAAGTATGGAATGACAAACCCGAATAATAAGATAGTTTTTAGGAAATCCTTCCTGGAATACAGGAGTAAGAGCGTGATATGTGAAAAATTGTCTTAATTCAAATGGTTAAAGAACCGTAACTCTAGATCAAGCAACAGATCCAAAAATTTTCAAAATGGAAAAGATTTATTGTTTTTATAATTTCATAAATATAGTGATGAAAGCAGATATTTGATAATCTGTATGATTTATTCATACTTATTAAACTCAGCTATTTAGAGTGAGACATGTTGTATAAACATTTGTTTCTTGTTAATACCCAATGTTGAACTTCAGATGATTTCTTGTTAATACCTAATGTTGACCTTCAGAGGATTTCTTGTTAATACCCAATGTTGACCTTCAGATGATTTCTTGTTAATACCCAATGTTGACCTTCAGATGATTTCTTGTTAATACCCAATGTTGACCTTCAGATGATTTCTTGTTAATACCCAATGTTGACCTTCAGATGATTTCTTGTAATATCCAATGTTGACCTTCAGATGATTTCTTGTTAATACCCAAAGTTGACCTTCAGATGATTTTTTGTGTCATTGGGTTGCTGTTTCAGTAAGGTTTAACCACTTCTTCTTGAATTCATAAACATTACTCCATAAAAAACATAAACTGGAAACTGAACAATTCATGGTTAAACTGGTCGTTCTAGTCTCCACTAAGTTCAAACTTCCTATAGGAGACCACTGCTTGTAGCGCAACACATCTTGTTTTATCATCAGGCAACAAAACTGTGTCAAGTTTAATGTCTTTATTGTTTTGAGTGATTGTGTGTGTGTTTGTGATATACTGGTAATGTTTATATTTCTCTTTAAGTGTTCATTACAGGTACCTTTATACAACCTACTGTGACTTACTGTTTCACCTTTGGGTCCTGTTGGTCCCCTGTCTCCCTGAAATAAAAAAAGAACCAAAATTCACTTATAACTTCTGTTACTGTGAAACAAGTAGGTATTGTTTGTGTGAACAGTCATTTATTTTGTTAATAGGTAGTGTAACAATTATTTTTACTATTGCTCCTTATTCAGGTCAAATATTCCAATAAGTTTGTGTTGAGGAAGAACATAAAATTATTGTAACTATCTATTAAGACTCTTATATTTATAAGAAATATAAATACCTTGATTCCTGGAGGTCCTCTTAATCCCATAGGTCCCTGTAGAAACAATTAATCAGAATTAACAAAGTTGTTCATTTGGTCAAATTCTTACAGCATTTCAGATACAGTAATGTATAATTGTTCCCTTTGGTTATAGTTTCAGATACAGTAATGTATAATTGTTCCCTTTGGTTATAGTTTCAGATACAGTAATGTATAATTGTTCCCTTTGGTTATAGTTTCAGATACAGTAATGTATAATTGTTCCCTTTGGTTATAGTTTCAGATACAGTAATGTATAATTGTTCCCTTTGGTTAAAGTTTCAGATACAGTAATGTATAATTGTTCCCTTTGGTCATAGTGGCATTAAACAACTAGTGGTAGGGCCTCGAAATGGTTGACAAACTGAGATGTACAGACAGTAATGTAACTTTATAGAAAATATTGTCTATTGTAAGTAGTTCCTATCAAACTAACTTAATCAGAAAACTTATCATTGAAAATTGCTAATTAATTGAAAGTCACTGAACCATGGCCTAGGGGGCAGGGCCTCAAAATAGTCGTCAAACTGATATGTACTGATAGCAATGCAACTTCGCACAAAATATCATTGATCTATCACCAGTAGTTCCTATCAATCTAACTTGAGCAGAAAACTTAACATTTAAAATGGCTAATTAATTTAAAGTCACTGGACCATGGCCTAGGGGGCAGGGCCTCAAAATAGTTGTCAAACTGATATGTACTGGTAGTAATGCAACTTCATACAAAATATCATTGATTTATCACAAGCAATTCCTATCAAACTAACTTAAGCAGAAAACTTAACATTGAAAATGGCTAATTAATTCAAAGTCACTGGACCATGGCCTAGGGAGTAAGGCCCAAAATTGTTGTCAAACTGATATTCCTGATAGTAATGCATCTTCATACAAAATGTCAATGATCTATCACAAGTAGTTCCTATCAAACTAAATTAAGCAGAAAACTTAACAATTGTCGACACCATTGCTGCAGCAGTAACTGGAAAAGCAATCCCTATGTCTCGCTTTCCGCGTCTTTCGTCGCAGGGGAGACAATAAACCATGAAATCTGTCAGTCGGACATGTACCCCTTACAATTATTCCATACACCAAATATAGTTGACCTATTGCTTATAGCATTTGAGAAATAGACCAAACCGCAAAAACTAATCATTGTTCAAAGAAGCATGAAATTAAGGTCAAGGTCAGATGAAACCTGTCAGTCGAGCATGAACCCCTTACAATCATTCTATACACCAAATATAGTTAACCTATTGCTTACAGTATATGAGATATGGACTTGACCACGTAACTTTAATCTTGGTCACTGATCCATGGAATAAGGTAGAGGTCAGATGAACCCTACCTGAAGGACATGTAGACATTGCAAGGAACCCATATACCAAATATAGTTATCCTATTACTCATAATTAGTGAGTATTTCACTTAACAAAAAAACTGTAATTTTTTTTTCAAGCAGTCACTGAACCATAAAAATGAGGTCAAGGACAATGGACATATGCTTACAATTTCATTGGAATGGTTTCAGATAAAGTTTACATTTCTCATCAAAAAGTTTTCTGGCCTTTTTTGACTGTACTTTGTTCACTGCATATTTTCTTTTGCTCCTGCCTTTTTTGTTTGTTTTTTATTTGTGGGTTATGTTTCTGTTTAAGGTTTTATCATATGTAGATGTTGACAAAAAATTTACAGATACCAGGGAAATTTACATTAATGTATTAATTACTGAATAAAAATACATGTCAAAGGTTACAAGAAAGATGAAAAGACTTACCATTGGGCCTGGGGGACCGGGTGGTCCATGTAACTGAAAGAAACCAAGAAAATATCAGTTTTTTTTAAACATTATAAACATAAATTTATTTAATGAAAAGTATATGTTACATACAATTCTCTTTGTCAGTTATTAAAATGAAACTGCTGAGTAAAAAGACTATGCATTTGCTATTGACTTAAGGGACATAACTCTTTATTTCTTACTTAACATTATGTTTAGGATGCTTTCCAAAGTACATTCATTTATAACTTATAAGCAAATTCATAAAAAAATAAAATATGATTTTTATAATTTAATATCAAAACATAATCGAACGAAAAAATCCAAACAATATAGGTGATGCACTAGTCTCTTAACTAGAATAATCCAGTTTTTAAGTCCCGCTCCAGTGTTCCAGCTAGGATTTCAAAAGGGCAGGGTGCCAATCCTGAAAAAGGGCATTTAACGCGTGATATGATAATATGAAAAGGGCATGTTTTAATAAAGATTATAATCAAACATTTTTTGTTCATTGAATCACTGGTTTTATATATACAAGAACAACATCATAAGCCCAGAGAAAAACTATCTTTCTACTTTTTAGGCTGAAAACTTGTCAAGCAGCTTGTCACACAAGTTTTAAATCATTGCTTGGCACAGTTAAGCTTTATATGCAGTATTGTTTGAAAAATGTCCTGCTTCATTCTGTTTCTATGGTCTGACACACTTTACAAGTTTAACCTTTCTACCTTTTCTGTGCTTAATGGCAATACAGCACAAAACAGCTGTAAATGCACAATGTTAGGATATAGTGAACAGTGAAAATTTGGATTGAAAATACAAAAATACAGAAAAAGATGACCAAGGCACCCTACCAACCCTGCTACTAAGACCCTCTTTAACTTTTCCCATAACTCAAAACACCTAAACATATAAATTCTAAAGCCAGAAGTATGAAGACATATTTTATAATATCTTAGTAGGTTACTCAATGCTAGGAAAAAATAAGATTGAGTTATCTTTCTTTATTTGGGTGTGCTCCTTCTTTGGAGGATAATAAACAGTACATGTACGTAGAAGATCTAAATACGATCAACAATATGGCGGCCGATTTTGTTATTTTCGTATAAAAAATGAAGGCAGTCAATGAAAAATACGTCTTAATTTGCTATTTATTTCACGGAAAACAATAATAGCAATGTTTTTAACGAGTTGATTATGGTTTTCGACTTTCTGTCAATTACGTTTTCTCCATGAAACTACAGTAAACATTGCCCAAGTTGTATGAACATTTCTTCAAGTCCAAAGGCAAATGCCGACTGACCGATTCTATTTGAATGAATTAATGTTGATGATCATTAAATGACCCATCCGATAAACGGATTACCTATAACAACAGATTATGACACCTGTTGTAACCGTTGATTAGCTTGGGGTCGTAAACAAAGTCATATACTTGTTGCCAGGTAAATTTTTCGTAATTGGCTGATCATATCAATACGAACAAAATAATATACCAATCGATCTTCAAAAAAGGCAGGGCGCCCTGCAAACTGTAAAAAGGGCACAGGGCGGCACTCAGGAAAGGGCGGGGGGACCGCCCTGTGAAAACGACCTAGCTGGAACACTGCGCTCACTACGAACTCTACATTAATGGAGAAACAGTAGTGGATAGAGGGCGCTGAATTATTCAAGTTACTAGTCTCTGGGCATTTCTACCTGGGGAATGGGAGACAACTCCTACTTCACTGATTAATTTTATGAATGATAAATTTGTTATGCACTAAGCTTATTTGTTATCGCAAAAACATTATAATCATCACTTCTATTCTATTTTTTTTTTTCTGAATTTCTTGAGCTGTATTTTCCCATCAAATTAACGTCACTCTCTGTCAATGACCTTACTTCAAAAAATGTTTCATGCAGTATCTTATGAAATCCGTAAAAAGAACAAAATTGCCTAAGACATTTTTTATATATACAATGAAGAGGAAGATATCTGATTCCTGCATTTGGAAAGCCTAATATAGACAAAACACAATTTTCTATTTGTTAGTTTTGTGAAGACATATCTTACCATTAAACTTTTGCCATCATCCCCAAATGTTCCTCCAGAAATGCCAGGTTCACCCTATAAATAAAAGGACACTTTATTAGTCTCTATATATAAAACTTTCCATTAGTATTTTTTTCATTTCATTTTTTTTCGATTTAAAGGCTTATAATTTTAGAGCATAAATACTGAAAAGACAAAATTCAGGATTATTTTTGGTCAGAAACACTGTAATATTAGATTGTTAAGTGGCTAATATCTATTTTCAGAATCTGCAAACACTTCAATGGAAGTCAATTTGAAGCATTAAAACCTTCAATTGATAATGACAAGAATTTTAATACATTGTTTCATTTTGAATAATCTTATTTTGTACAAGCATGCATGCTTCATGCAACTGTTATTTCAGTTCCTGTAATTATATTTCTATACAGTCATTATAGAAAGAGATCATTGACCTTCAGCCCTTAAAATTAAACCTACACTATCAATAGTAATTACCGTCTTTTGGTGTGTATAGTATGCAGGTTTTCACCTGAGGAATGATTTCTGTAAAGGGGGGTGCGTATTATGTATAGCTACACTGTTCTTGAGACTTTTTTTCAGGCCGAATTCTGATCAAGAAACCAGGTGGTCTGGAGGAAAATATTTTTGTAGCATAAACTTGATTGTTGTTATGTTTTACATGTATATTTGTACCTTCTTGTATCTGATTTGTAATGTTATATGCAAATAAAAATCATTTAAATGCTGAAGTAGTTGTTTTTTGCATTTTCTTGTGTTCTCTGTTGCCGCCCGGAAGCTGCATTTGATCATGTTCAAATTAGAGATGAAGGATTCTGTCAATGGCTAAATTAGTGTAGGTGTTTTTCGAGTTTATTACTTACTTTGTATATGTGTTCTAACAAGGAATACAGAAGGTAAATGTATGAAAATTGAATGAAACACGCCCAATTGATGATAGCGACCACCATTGATTTTTTACTTTCGTAGTATCAGGTGATCACGTTCATGTGACTTTTAGCAGTTGTCAGGTTGAATAAAGTGATGATTTCAAACACGTTTTTACTTTGTTACATTTTTTAAAAAACCTTCATACACATGATACAAATCATAATTGCAGACATGTCAATGCCATTTTGTAAACTGTACGGATTTGATTAAGGAACAAAATTAATCTGTCAATTGATTTGCATTGACAACGATTAGACTTCCTAATTGATATTCAACAAGAGTGTGATAATCCGCATTAAACAATTTAATGAGTACCAACAAACAATAAATAAAATTAGCAGAGATTAATATTTATTTATTGTGTATTTAAGAATATTCGTAATGATTCCATATTCCATAGAAGATTCAATGACTACGATTTGCATTTTAAAAAACTTCCTGATTTAACACTTCCTGTTGTTCTCAATCAAACACATCCGTGGAAACAATAAAGAATCAAACATCGTTTGCTAAATCATTTATTCTGCAACAATATTTTCATTATCCTGTAATCAACCAGGACTGGAGTTCAATTTTTATCCGAAAAAGAAATCATTTTCAATGGATGTATTTTACAGAGTTTAAAGTTTGGATTTTTCCAGAAAGTCTCTGCGTGTAAAGCATAAGAAGGAATAAAAATAGGGTGTGTACTATGCATGAGTGCGTTTTATATATACCAAAAGACAGTATCATATAATGTAAAAACTTTAAGCCACAAACTGTTCAATTTGAAAATTTTACTATTTGCAGTTGAGAAATGTTGCATCCCATTGGATGCAGAGGTAAATTTATATATCTTGATTCATTATAGTCATTTTTTAAAAACTTTTACTGAGGTCAATCAATGATTTGATTCAATTGATTGCAATAACTCAAAATTCCCTTTGGACCAGTTAGACTAGAACTGTTATCACAATATATTGTTATTTGTTTATAATACTGTTTTAAATATCATAATAAACTTACATGATGCTATATGCTTTTCTTGTCCTTTTTAAAAAGGAAACATGCAAAACAGTGTTAACAGCATTATCAGTCTGTCTTGTCTTGTATCTAACGGTAACATTCATCATGCTTATTTTGCTCTGGCTTGTATGAACTGGCAACATGCAAACAAACAATATTGAAATTCATCCTTGATTATATTGATAGCTTTTTGTTAGAATAAAATAAGTTGATAAGATGGATCAATTCATTTTCAATAATGAACACACCAACTGTTACATATGTAATAAGAATGTGCAGATAAAGGCAAGAAGAACAAATGTGAAGTTCTTTACCACAATTATCTCCCTTGTAGTACACACTGCTAAGCTTTAACAGAATTATCTCCCTTACAGTACACACTATTAATTAGATAATGATGATGGATGGCTGCTGGTCGTACAGCCACAAATTAAATGCATATTCAGGACGATAACATGTTTTAAAAATGATATATAAGAATATTTATCCTACTTTGTACTAGGCGGACAAGCTGAGCCGTATTTTCAACATGCTAGTTCACAAGGTAAGAACATGTCACCCTACCCTCACACATTATTCTGACTCCATGCTGTCCAATCTTTGCTCTTACTCCTTACTTCAGCATGCTAAGTAGGGAAGCAGCAAATACCAATTCTAAAGTGTTTGGTTTGACTCAACCGGGGTTCCAACCCACGACCTCCAAGCGAACATGCTATCACCAGACCACCGAGGTGGTTCTCTATAAACTAGACAATGGACAATCAATAATTTTCAAAGTATGCATACAATGCTCATAGTATTTTACATTTAGTATTGAAAAGTTCAATTCACTTTTACCTTTAGATTCATTACCAAATCAGAAAAGAATTTCCATTCCAAATATTGTGGCCAAGGGACAGTTAGACTTGAAATAAATTGGTCTCTTTCAAGTTACTAACATCTGTGAATTATTTGAGTACTACTATGTCTGTGTCTAAATTAGTGCAGCTATATATTGGGGTGCAAAATATTACTAGAATTATCTCCCTTGTAGTTTACAACTAAAACTTTACAAGAATTGTCTCCCATGCAGTAAAAAACTACAAATTTTTATAATAGTTATCTCTGCGAATAGATGATTTCAATTCCAATAGAGTTCTAATTGTGCATAAACATAAATTGAATCTATAAAACAATCTTGGACAAGTTGTGCTTAAAAGCAGAAACCCCTGATTCAAGAGTCAAACTATGGTAAAGATCAATTGAAATCACTAATCTAAATATAGGTTGTTTCTGGAAATGAATTATTTTCATACAAGTCTCAAAATCATGAACGGGAAATTATAAATTCACACCACAGGACTAGTTTTCACATTGTTTTACACTATCACTTCACAGCTATATCTTATGTTCAGATTATCTCCTCTCAAGTCAGTATTTTTTGTTTGACCTAATGGCAGAAAGATGGGTACTAGAGGACTGAAAGAGCACTTTTAAGCACAATAATCCAGAAAACTAATTTTTGTGCAAAGTTAAATTGTGTAATGATGGCAAATCTTTACCTACTATTCAGACAGGAATTATTGTAAATTCTCATTTTTTAGTGTTTTGAAACTATCAATTAATATCATGCTGTTTTAATGCATAACAAAGTTAAACTCCATGCCATGCATATTATAAATCATCTATTTATCATTAAATCTGTAACATACTGTTACTCAAACTTATCAACAACAAAAAACCAACATAGCAAAAACTTTCAAATTTTTATAATTTGATTTCAGCGTTTTGCTATTTCGATTAATTTTTTGAAGATTTTGTACTTTTGTATACCTCAAACAGCATGTATTATCATGTTATCCTAATAAAAAGTCTATGGTATTAATAAATATTATATCAATTATTGTCTCTTTGAAAAAGATCCACCTCATTTTAAGGTTTAATCTATTATGTCAGAATGCTGTACATAAATTGACACAAAGGGAAACACTTTTAAATAAGATAACAAACTGTCTTATACTTTAAATGAAATTTTATTTTGCCATAGTTAAAATTTTGTTTGTTTTGCATTAGCAGATAGTATAAAAATAAGGAGATGAGGTATGATTGCCAATGAGACAACTATCCACCAAAGTTCAAATAAAGTGGATGTAAGCAATTATAGGCAACCGTACGGCCTTCAACAATGAGAAAAACCCATAGTATGTTTAAGATAAAAATCACTACAATCTGAATACAATAACACAATATACTGGAAACTGTTCAAGTATATAAACTTTTGACTTTTTATTCACTTAGGTTCATAATTTTCAAACAATTTTGTTGTGTATTACTGCTCTCAGCTCAACATTCGTTTAAACCATCTGTGTTCCTGATTTCGTTTGTGATCTGCAAATATCTGCTATATTTACAATTCTAGGTTGTACCACTGATCCAATATCAATATAAATGCAAAAAGAGTATAACCACCCTTAGTATTTATGTTTATAGATTTTTATGGGACATCCATGTGTTTGAATTTCTATTGATAATTTACATATAACTTACTGGAGGTCCAGGTAATCCTGGAGGCCCTATAAGACCATCTAAACCTGGTGGTCCAACTGGTCCTAAATCACCTTTTATACCTTTCAGTCCCTACAAAATAAGAAATATTGTTTAAGTACATGTTTGTTATAAAGATTAATGTACCTGTTTAAACCCAACAAATACAGATATTCAGGTTCTTTCCCAAGTCAGCAACTTTGTCATTGGTTGTCTTATGTCATATGTTTCTTTTTGGTATTAGGAAAATTAGAGTTTCTGTAAAATATTTTCATTACCAGGTAGTTTTTTTTTATAGACTTGGGACAATTTAGACCTTTACACATTGTATAGACACCTGTCTCTTGTGAGGAACTATATTGATCTCTAGATGTCTATTGGTTATTTGGGCTGTTGGTTGCTGTCTAAATGATATGTACCCCATATCTCCCTCTTATTTGGGCTGCTGGTTGCTGTCTAAATGATATGTACCCAATATATCCCTCTTATTTGGGCTGTTGGTTGCTGTCTAAATGATATGTACCCAATATCTCCCTCTTATTTGGGCTGCTGGTTGCTGTCTAAATGATATGTACCCCATATCTCCCTCTTATTTGGGCTGCTGGTTGCTGTCTAAATGATATGTACCCCATATCTCCCTCTTATTTGGGCTGCTGGTTGCTGTCTAAATGATATGTACCCCATATCTCCCTCTTATTTGGGCTGCTGGTTTCTGTCTAAATGATATGTACCCCATATCTCCCTCTTATTTGGGCTGCTGGTTGCGGTCTTAATGATATGTACCCCATATCTCGATCCCTCTTATTTGGGCTGCAGGTTGCTGTCTAAATGATATGTACCCCATATCTCCCTCTTATTTGGGCTGCTGGTTGCTGTCTAAATGATATGTACCCCATATCTCCCTCTTATTTGGGCTGTTGGTTGCTGTCTAAATGACATGTACCCCATATCTCACTCTTATTTGGACTGCTGGTTGCTGTTTAAATGATATGTACCCCATATCTCACTCTTATTTTGGCTGTTGGTTGCTGTCTAAATGATATGTACCCTATATCTCATTCTTATTTGGGCTGTTGGTTGCTGTCTAAATGATATGTACCCCATATCTCCCTCTAATTTGGGCTGCTGGTTGCTGTCTAAATGATATGTACCCCATAACTCCCTCTTATTTGGGCTGCTGGTTGCTGTCTAAATGATATGTACCCCATAACTCCCTCTTATTTGGGCTGCTGGTTGCTGTCTAAATGATATGTACCCCATATCTCCCTCTTATTTGGGCTGTTGGTTGCTGTCTAAATGATATGTACCCCAGATCTCCCTCTTATTTGGGCTGCTGGTTACTGTCTAAATGATATGTACCCCATATCTCCCTCTTATTTGGGCTGATGGTTGCTGTTTAAATGATATGTACCCCATATCTCACTCTTATTTGGGCTGTTGGTTGCTGTCTAAATGATATGTACCCCATATCTCATTCTTATTTGGGCTGTTGGTTGCTGTCTAAATGATATGTACCCAATATCTCCCTCTTATTTGGGCTGCTGGTTGCTGTCTAAATGATATGTACCCCATAACTCCCTCTTATTTGGGCTGCTGGTTGCTGTCTAAATGATATGTACCCCATATCTCCCTCTTATTTGGGCTGTTGGTTGCTGTCTAAATGATATGTACCCCATATCTCCCTCTAATTTGGGCTGCTGGTTGCTGTCTAAATGATATGTACCCCATATCTCACTCTTATTTGGGCTGCTGGTTGCTGTCTAAATGATATGTACCCCATATCTCCCTCTTTTTTGGGCTGCTGTCTAAATGATATGTACCCCATATCTCCCTCTTTCTATATATACATAAACAATTTGAAAGTCTTGACAGAAATGATCTGAAGTATATTAGCTGGTATTGTGGTGATAATTTGGGTCTTGATATTACAAGTTAGCCTTCTGATGTACCATATAATAGACAGTAAACTTACAGATAAACCTCTAGGACCTGGCTTGCCTATACTTCCTGACACCCCAGGTGTTCCTCTGTCTCCCTGTCAATATACCAATACCAATATGAATAAATAAATAAATATGAATAAATAAATTTAATAATTAAATGTATTTAAGGCATTTTATTGTAAAAGTCAATAATTTAAAAAGACTTTTTATTCATAATATTAATAAAGAATAAATAAATTTTATTAATAGACATCCAATCACAAATTACTGGATTGAAATTCACCAGCTAAAGCAGTGAGACAGGTATGACTTTGAACCAAAATTTTGTAAAAACCTAAAAAAATATGTAAAAATGGAATTTTTACTTCCCATTACACTGACCCTTAGAACTCTTAAATCTATTCACCCTACCACCAAGAAAAAAAGAAAGGAAAAAAAAGCCTCCAATGAATGATAATGAAAAAACAGAAAAAAAGTTAAAGACTTTTGCTTTCAAGAGTTTAACCAACCAATAACTATTCCCTTGCTGATATGACAAATTGTTTTTTTCTTTGCTGAATGGTAAACCTTTACCTGTTCCCCTTTAGGTCCTTGTTTTCCCAAGTCTCCTTTGTCTCCTGATGCTCCCACCTGTCCAGGTAAACCATTAGCTCCTGGTCTCCCAGTCTTGCCCCTCCTACCTCGCTTACCCTGAATAATTACAAAAAAATTGAAAAAATGAACTCCATTGCTCTAAATGTCAATTGAAAGCTAATTACACTTTGAACAATTACAAAGCTAATCAACAACAACATAAAAATAAGAAGATGTGGTATGAATGCCAATGTGACAACTCTCCCAAATGTTCCTTCAAATGGATCACAAAAACTAAAAAAAGAGTTTTACTTCTTTATGAAAAAGTGTCTTAAAGAAGTTGGCAAACAAGATTTTCTTTTATACCTTAATGCATAACTTTTATAACAATCAATTTTACATGAAATGTAGGTCAAAATTACCCTTATGAATATAAAGGTCTTCTACAGAGGGTGCAGTAATTTGTTGATGATGATGGATGGCTGCTTAAAGTCCAGCAGCAAATTAATATGCATATTCAGGACGAGAACATGTTAATGTAATATGAATATTAACCCTGCTTTGTACTAGACTGACACGCTGAGCCAGATTTTTAACGTGCTAGTTAACAAGGAAACAGTCCGCAGGAAGAAATGTCACCTTACCCGGTCACATTATTCTGACTCCGTGCTGACCAGTCTTTGCTTTTACTCCTTAATGCTGCATGCTTAGCAAGAAAAGCAGCAAATACCAATTTTAAAGTCTTTGGTTTGACCCGGCCAGAACCACAACCACAACCTCCCACACTCGAGGCGAACACTCTACCATGAGACCACCGAGGCGGTTTGGTAATTTATTGAATATCATTTTCTACTGAGTAACTGTTTCTATCAATCACATCAGCTGTCATGTTGAATGGTTACAGGATCAAATCATTTTGAAAATTAAGACTTCCAAGGACTGATTATGGTACATGAATATCTGTTTCTTTAATGAAATTTTTTTTTTTAGGTTTTGGACATGAATGCAAAATGAGTTTCAAATAGTAGCAAAATAATTTGCATGAAGATTGTCACATATTGAACTTTCAATAACAGAACATTATGGATAGATAAAGTCTTCTGGACAATTCCAGAGAAATAAAGGATATAGGTGGTATATCAATTTTGCAAAGCATATGCTATCTTAAGACACAGATTGAAACATACATATGTATAATATATGAAATACAGATATATTATTACCTTTTTACCTCTGCTGCCTTTTTGACCTTTCTCTCCTTGAGATCCATGGTTACCAGGTAAACCAATCTCTCCCTACAGAATCAAAACAAAGTGAAATTAAATATACATGCATCAAAAAGTCTAGAATTACTATGCATTGTAAGTTGACGTTGTTTGCAGTTCTATTTAGGTCATCATAGGTTTCAACCTTTTAATATTTTTTGTGTAACTGGCCTTCCAAATGCTTCACACATACATGACACGATTATTCCAAAACCAAAGGTTATTTGGATCTTATTAAGTACTCTTTTCTATTTATAGCTCTTAACTACACACATTAAAAAAAAAATTCAATATTGTGTCATAAATATTACATTTTGTTGAATTAAAAATATCCCTGTGTATCTATAATTGAATATGATATTACAACTACCAGTCACAGTAGTTATCATTTAAGCTTATCCCACCATGGTGATACAAAAATGTTATTAATCATTATTACTTCAGAGTATTTGGTTGTTCTATCTATGCCCTTTGGGTTTTAATGCTATCAAATGTTTCACAGGGATTTTTTTGACAATTAATACAAGTTTTTGGTCATGTGCCTACCTGACTACAGTTATTGGAGGAATATGTGATATGTGCAGGGCAGCATTTGTATATTTGTATGTAAAAGTCACCAAAACTATACAAATACACTAATAAATCCATAAAAGCATGAAACATAGTGATATAATTCTGTAAAAAAAAATTACCATGGTTATTAACAATCAGTCTCCCTATGATAGTGAAGCTTGCAAAAAATACCAGCCCTTTGTATATTATGATAATCTTTGGCAATCATTAATGATAAACTCATAGAGTATATAACTTCAGTTTCATACAATGGAATACTCCCAACAAAAGGTAAAAATAACCTTATCTACATTAAATGTTAAATAAATAATCAAGGTTTCTGAGAAACATATTTCAAATTTACAAACGTAAAACACAATGTAGATACACAAATATAATTACCATGACGATCACAAACCTTTCTCTTCCTTGTTTCATATATAATGTTGATATTAAATAAAAATCATCATCAAAACAACAGAAATATAATATGTTATAAAATTTCAATTCAAATAACTCTGAAAAAGTGAAAAAAACCAAACAATTCTGGCTCTAATCCTGAATAAAATCTACTGATATCCTACTAGACAATGTAGTTATCATATACATGCTTTTTTGTACCTGGAAAATATAAAAATAAATCTCATAATTCAAATTCCACTAAAAACAGCAAAAGCATTTAAAAAAGATTAAATATATACAATGCATTTCTGACTAAAATTTCAAAATTACCTTATTGTACAGATTTAAAACTTGCAACTTCCATGTGATAAAAAATGGATATGTTATTCTAAAGCTATACAAAATGTCTGCTCTGTGTAAGTTATAAAGTATAGTAGTGAATATACATAATGAAACCTCTGCAACTTGTAAAATTAAACAGCTACAACAAGAATTCTTCAAAGCTTTTTAATTATCTAAAATATCAAGTTCAGTGGTTTCATAAGCATTGGAAAATTTGGAAAAAAGTATTAAATATAAAATTTGCAGAAGTTTCATGGAGCAAAATTAATTTTCTTGATTATATATGAATCATGACTGCAGCAAGTTATCCCAACACCACAGCAACTGAGTACCCTTGGTCCACGTTTACAAATTTTATCAGATCGTCTGTTCCTATCATTATCCCCAGTCTGAGGTGTCACAGTTGATGGTTCCTTCAACCTTTCTGTTCTCACTTCCAATCGACATGTTCTGGACTTGTTCTTTTAGGGGAGATAATAATGATTACTTTTTTCCATTTTTGTCAAGCCCTCAGTCTTAAATAATTTCATTGAAGTATGTATGCCTTTTCTCAAATGTTAATTCATGTTCAAAGAATTCCAACATCAATCCACTATTCATATATTTTTCAGATGACTGGAGTATTAATATACAGCTAATAAAGAGGCCTTTCATTTCTTTACTGCAGTCATGAAAGATGTATGTTATATAGTATCATATTTTACTGCAGTCAGCAATCCAACAAAAATATAAGATTTTGGTAATGACTGCAGCAGTCCCACCACCACCACAAACACTGAGTACCCTTGGTCCACGACAAGCCCTATTTGATCGTCGGTTTCTGTCTGAATTATCGTCTTCATCATCTTGGGTTTGTCCCTTAACCTCAGGGGCTGTAGTTGTTATTGCTCCCTTATACCTTGATAACACTTCAATTCTACATCGTCTAGATTGCTTCAAGGGGAGATAATATAACTTCACTACTATTTTTTTCAATTTAATATGAAGCAGAACTTATGTTTCTAAAACACTTGACACCTTGTAGCATCTATGAAGGGTGGGGGAATACATCTATCAAATCCCTGCTTTCTTTGACATTATATCCTCTGTCCCAAGTATGTGGGTAGACATTGCTGCAGTCATGGTTTGTTTGAGTATCATTGCTGCAGTCAGTCAAATATACAAAGCAATGATACATCCACAAACTGACTGCAGCAATGATAAAATATTTAAAGTGAACTGTGATACAATTGCAGAGAGTCCATTAAAGTCAATAATTTTGAAGCAAAGTTTCCAAAGGAAAATTCCTAGACTAAATCCAGAAACTAATTTTAGTGAAAGACAAGAATCATTTCTGTTGTATCACGTTAAATAATTTTGTAACTAAATAATTTAAAGCTAGTAAATCAATAAAGTTCCACAATTTTTGGTTTCAGTTCAATTCCATTTCAGGCTCACCCTTTGCCCTTTCGGGCCCTGAGGGCCCTGAATAAAACCAGCTGGAAAACCATTATTCATTCCAGATTTTTGTGGGGTTGTACCGGTTTTACCACCTAACAGGGTACCACCATGACCTCTAGGGCCTCTTCTACCCTATAACATATATCTAGTATTATGTATATTTTTATAATGCAACAATGATTTAAATGGAAAAGAACACTAGAAAATGATTGCAAAATGCACAACTTTAAACAATTTTATAACACTGCAATAACATAATAATATTTGTTAAATGTAACAAAAAATGTAAAAGAATTCCTTAAAACAGGTAATAGCACTACTAAACCAAGCAAGAGAGTACATGTATTTTAAAGTAAATTGAAAAGTTACTGTTTTATTTAAAGTACATAAAGAAAACAAGGATTAACAGCCTATTTTATTCAAGAAATGAAAAAAGAATCCAAAATACTGTAAACCAAATAATTTTCACGAGCGATTTATTTTCGCCACTTTCGCAAGTAGAAAAAAAAAGCGAATATAAATCGTCACTAATATGTAAAACTTGGGATTTTTCCTTATTTATCTACATCACGTAAATTTGAGAATCACGAAATTAAATCACCGCGAAATGGGCTAGAAAGGGCTAAAAGCGAAAAAAAGTATCTGCGAAATAAAGTTGGTTTACAGTAGTCTTCCTTGTGCTAAATGACAACAGCAGTGCATGATCCCATCCGCCAGATTTCAAACAAAATGATAAAGGTCAGTTGTAAGGTGTTATTGAAATCCCATATAACCCTTTAACACCAAAAACATATTTTCTGATCTAAGGAATTCTCTTTAAAACTGATACATGTACAACTTACTTTTCGACCAGGTAGACCATCTTTACCCTGGAAGTTATCATAACATATTGTATTCAAAATTACATTTTATTAGGTACAATCATTATAAAGGAAATGTACTCAAGTAAAATATTTCAAATATTATGAATATTCTCAGAGACATAAGTCTGAAAGAAGGCATAAACTAATTGCCTTTTTTCTATTAAAATGGCAAAGCTGGCAAATACATTTTTGATTGAAAAACAAAAAGCTCTCGCTAACCAAACAAAAATGGTGTTATTTACATAGATAATTGAGATGCAACATATTTAAGAAGTTCTTGCATGCAATCAATATTTGCAAATTAAAAAAACATCTCAAAAGAGACAAAAATCTGTTTTATTCCATAAAAGCACTTAAGATGTCATAATAGTTGACATTTCAAGGTTAACTACTAAAAAAGTACTAATTTTTGGTTTAATAGTATTCTCTTTACTTATATATTTCGGTGTTGAACTCTTAAAGTACTAATTTTTGGTTCTTCATAACTAAACTTAACAAATCTATATATATATTTATATAAAGTATTCTGTTAACTTATATATGCAGGTATAAAGTGAAATCCTAGTACAAATATCATTGAAAACAGTGCTTTGCTTTTGCGCCACAAACCATATATCGAAGTATACACTCAGGTAAATAGTATAAATAATAGATGTACATTGAGACTTCTAATAACAATTTTACAAAATATTTTTGATCGCATAATAAAACATATTCATGAATCACATTCATCATAATACATTAAACACCTAATAGTTTTTTAAATGCTAAGATTGTTTTTTCTGCAAGCCTAAATTGTGATTAACTGTGTTCATTCAATGTTTTATAAGGTTTTTGCTGTCCAAATCTGTTGTGGTGCTAGCTCTGGAACTTTTTTATGTTCAATTATACAATTTGTCTCTGTTTTTCAATACATTTATATATGTTATTATGTGTGGTCACAAAATACACAGACGTATTTCCTCCTCTTTTTGTGTCGTATTTTCTCCTCTATTTGTGTCATATTTCCTCCTCTATTTGTGTCCGAATGAATTATATCCATCTTGTCACATCACAAATGTGAACTAAATACAATTGTATACCTTTACCTGACTCTCAGATTGGTATGAGAAATGAGTATGAGCTCACTTACTTATCCAAAAGGGGAGTTGATACTCTACAAAATTTCTTACACGAGCTTTGTATTCAGGATACAACTTTTTATTAAAACATTTCTGTTATATGTTACCTGTATTTTGCGAAAAAGCAGTATTTAATTTTGGCTCAAATGAAATATAACCTTGTGGCGCAAATGAAATACCTTATTTTTCAAAAATTGGTGCAAATGCGTTGAAAAAATAGGCCAGTTATCACACCTTCTAGTCTATACAATTTCAGAATGACCAAGACATTATTCAAATATATTGAATACAAAATTACAACAAATATAACTTGCTGACACTTCATAATATCTCACATTCTCAGCAATACCTGTTACCATAGACATTGGCAGATACAGAAAAGTCGAAAGTACATCACTATTCAACCTTTATAATAAACTCAATTTGTTAACATTAATGTGTGATCTGTAATGATACCAATATCATTTTATCTTAAGCAATTGATAACTGAAATATCCATCGCAAGAGATAAATAATAAATGGACTTACAGCTGGTCCTCTTGGTCCTGGTGGTCCCTGAAATGATAAAAGACCAGAATTCTGATATTAATTTTAGTCTACATTACTATCAAACTTCAGATTGATGATTTTATGAAATGACTGTACCTGAAAGTCATCAAAAGTCATTTTGATTTTCAAACAGTTGCTGTATTACATATTTGTTTTTCGTTCATTATTTTGTACATAAATTAGGCCGTTAGTTTTCTCGTTTGAACTGTTTTACATTTGTCATTTCGGGGCCTTTTATAGCTGACTATGCAGTATGGGCTTTGCTCATTGTTGAAGGCCATCAATGACCTATAGTTGTTAATTTCTGTGTCATTTGGTCTATTGTGGAGAGTTGTCTCATTGGCATTGATACCACATCTTCTTTTTACATCTATGTCGGGAAAATTTCCAAAACAAACCTTCTTACTTATACTTATTACAAATGTATTGGTATACAACTAAGTACTTGACTTCCTTGTTCTCCTTTTTCTCGTTACATGCTGTTCTCTTTGATACTCATTTGTTATCTTTGGGATACACACACAAAAATGTAATCCTAATAATTCATGTATTCCCATTTTCCAATCTGTTTATCCGTTATATTAATTACACTTACTGCTGGTCCTGGTGGCCCAGGTAAAGCATCAAATCCTGGAATCCCTTCTTCTCCGTTCTCCCCTTTTGGACCAGGAGGTCCCGATTCTCCACGGTCACCTTTCTTTCCTGGATCTCCGGGCTCTCCCTAACAACAGACAAACTGACTATTCAATAACCAGAGTAATGTCATCCTATTCAATGTTTCAATACTGATTTTGATACATTGTTAAGCTACATGTTAATCTTTACATAAATTTCAATAAACAACCATTGTTATGCACATGGCCATTCCATTACTTTATGAAAAATCTAACTATTAGTATATCTTGTGATGTTTGTTGTTTTAATTGATGCAGACTTTAACCAAACAAATAATAGCTGTATAGAAGAGAAATGTTAAAATATATAAATCTAATCAACAGGGTAAGACTCCTTCATCAAGATACACAGATAATACTACACAATAATTTTCATTTTTTTTCACCAAAATGATTATGAATTATTGTTTTTTTCAAGTGTACTTAGTTATGAAGAGATTAACCAGTACAGGTCTTAATACCTTTTCCTATAAATCTTCACATTAAATTATCATCTTGTAATTCACTAGGATATAAATATTTCATTTCATCATCTTACATCATTTACAATAAAGTGGCAGTATTTACCTTACACATATACATCTAAACATAAACAAATCATGATGGAAATTAAATGAGTAACAATCAATTAACTATAAGTATAGACGATTATTGACCCTTTTGAAACTGTTTCATTGATGTCAAGTCTGTGGCACCCAGGTAGGTCATGATCAGACAACTCAGGAATCAATTACCACACAGGATAACATGTTTTAATGTAAAATCCTTAATATTATGAAGTTTTCATTTATTACAGTGCCTTTAAAAAACACAAAAATATAGATATAGTAACACTGTATGGTCGTTATGACTGAACATAATTGATAAATCAAATCCAAGCAATGAAACATCAGGTTCAAATAGCAGATAAAAACAGTTATCTGTACAGTAAAAAAATGTTTGGATACATTTATGATTACTATTATAAGAGCATACATTTTTTCAATAATCTTCTATCATTTGACTTTAAAGCAATTATGGGTCATGCTGTTTTGAGGTAACTGATTAAGTATTGGTAATTTTTTTAAAGGGTACATGTTACAATGATGTTTATTATACCTCAGTTATCATTTTCTATATAAAATAAGTACACAATATTTTCACTATTTTTCAAATTTGAATTTCGGTGAAACTATTTGACCGCAAGCGTCATTATATTTTGCGGAATTTCAAATGCAGCTACGGGATTGGATAATGTTGAGAATACTGCAGGAGTTACGTCACTTTTTACCTATTGTATCTAGGGTTGACGTCAGTGCGGGACGTAGCATGAGCATTCAGAATATATATGAAGTAAACGTGAAACAGTATGGTTGTGTTTCTGCTTTTTATATCATGATAGTTGATTTAGCCCCGACATTTATCATTTATTGTCTGTTGTCTCTTTCGGTATAATAAAACACTTACTGACTGGTTATACGTGGAATAGTAAGTTTATTGTCCCCTCGGATACAACTATTGCCCTCGGCTACACCTCAGGGCAATAGTTGCACCTCAGGGACAATAAACTTACTATTCCACTCATACCCAGTCAATAAGTATAAAATGTATCAATGTACTATAAATGGCAGACAAATTTGAATTCATTAAAAGTATGGATTTACAAACCTTTAAGAAATCCAGTTCAAGTTCTTGTTCTGGTGAAAGTGTTATAGGAGTACCGGGAGGTCCTCTAGCACCCTGTGTAAAACATGCAAACATGCAGTCAACATGCAAAACAGCAAGCAGTAACACTCAATACATTTAATGACAATATCCAAAGTAGATTTCCTATAGAATCAATGCCAAACTTACAAAAGGAGAAAATAATTGATTAGGCAACTTTTCTGCGACTCTTTTCACAAAAAATCTAAAGAGTAAAAATACTCATAAGTCATACACATTTCAGTATAACTTACGATCAATTTTAATCGTTAAGATTTTTTATGAAAAGAGTCGCTGGTCTCTTGAATTTGAAATTTTCAAAAAGTTTAATAAAAAGCAAAAATATCCATCATATGTTTGCCAGACATAGTTTGTCAGATATGATAAATAATATATCTGAATTGTGCCTTACACATTTGCTTCAATCCTTCAAACCCATGCGCTTGCAAGGAAAACTCAGAAAACTGCATAAAATGGCATAATTTTCAGATCTTCCCTTTCATATTTAGAAATTAGCAACACCGATGCCAACAAAAACACTTTGCCCCAAGATTTCTGATACAAAGATGTTGATGTGAGTGAAATATCATCTTAGGTGAATATGTTGCCCATATTTGGTTTAACCAAAATATATAGATGAAAAATGGCTAGTTATTGTCAAACATGTCTATTATGACATATTGGGGAGTTACATTTACATCATAAATAACACCTGTGCACTAAAATGACCAGATTATACCAACCTTTTCATTTATGGATAAAATTATCATTACTTTCCTTTTTTTTTCAAATTTCAGAGGAAAAACAATGACTCTTATCATAACTCCTTCTTAGCTATGTTCAAATCAACTTTTTTTTCATAAATCTTCAGCAGGATTGTTCATAGTTGAAAGTTTTTATAGTTAAAGATGTTGAAATATATGAGAGCAACAATGTAGAAAAGGGGTTTAAAGAAATTGTTAAAACTGTTGAAGATCAATTTTGTCGGGAGAGTTGCCACCTTAGTTCCTTCAAAAATTAAAATAATAGTCCAGCAACAGTGGTAGTGCCCTACTGATAATTTATTAGTGCTAGAAATAGCTCTTCATTTACTTTACTAATAATACCTAGCCACAAATAAAAGTAACCTCTGTCATGGAGTTTAAGTGAATCCAAATGAAAAAAAATAAAAATGTTTCTTTTATCTTGTATGGATTAAAATTAAGAAGGAAATCTCAACTTTGGATTGAAGTAAACAATATTTCTATTTGTTCACTATGAAAAAATATATGAACTAATTTAACCAAACTACACAAGTACATCTAGGAGACAATCAGTCCATTCAGCACTATGTTTTATCCCCCATGTTACAATCATGTAGATCAAGAATGTCAGCAGTATCATGCAATTCTTAGAAAAAGACAAATTACAATAGGAAAATTAAAACATACAAAATAAAAGATACTTCAACAAACCTTTATTGTTATGACTTCAAAATCTGAACCCTATTGAAAACATAAAAGCTGTTAACAAAAAATAAATATGGTAAATCACTATTATCGAATTCATATTTAAAAAATAGATAAAATTAAATCTACAAAAAAAAAATTATTTATTTTTGTATATTTGCTTACAATGAAATCCTTTTTAAAATCGTTTTACATCGATGTTCTAAACAAGTGTATTTAAGCAAACTTTCGCAATTAAATTTTCTTTCTTTTTAACAAAATGTAAAACAAAAACAACATTCATGCTGACATGCAGATCTACCTTTAATGATATTAAATTGCCGTATTCTGAATCTAGGCTATCTTGGAATCGTCGTAAAGATCTCTTTATTCCCTGTGTAGATATAATAATGAATAATCATACAAGGTATCTCAGAATCAAAGTAAAAATCTCTTCATTACATATGCTAAAACCTATAAAAGTATAAATTAAGATCACAAATTCTACATGTATATCCTAAATACAAATTTTCTTGATATCATCCTAATTCCATTTCCAATTTAAGAAATAATTAAAGAACCTTAGTGAGCGCGCTCACATACCCCACGTCCCCACATTGTCATTGGAGAAATAAAATAAGTGTAAGAAAAAAAAATTGAATCATAATTTCCTGTCAATATGCACATCTACATAGTATGTCCTTATTATCTACAAAGTTTCATGAAATTCTGTTGTGTGGTTTCAGAGGAGTTGCGATGACAAACTGTTGCAGAAGTACATTGAAGCAAATAAGTTCAAAGGGGCGTAACTCCTAGAAAAAAAATTGAATCGTTATTTTCTGTCGATATGCACATCTACATAGTATGTCCTTATTATCTACAAAGTTTCATGAAATTCTGTGGTGTGGTTTCAGAGGAGTTGTGATGACAAATTGTTGCAGTAGTACATTGAAGCAAATAAGTTCAAAGGGGCGTAACTCCTAGAAAAAAAATTGAATCGTAATTTCCTGTCGATATGCACATCTACATAGTATGTCCTTATTATCTACAAAGTTTCATGATATTCTGTGGTGTGGTTTCAGAGGAGTTGCGATGACAAAAGGTTGCAGTAGTATATTGGGCAAATAAGTTCAAAGGGGCGTAACTCCTGGGAAAAAAAATGATTCGTAAATTCCTGTCGATATGCACATCTATATAGTATGTCCTTATTATCTGAAAAGGTTTCATGAAATTCTGTTGTGTGGTTTGAGAGGAGTTGCGATGACAAGAAACAGGACTGACGGACTGACGGACGGGTCAAAAACATTATACCCTTCGCAAAAAATTTGCGTGGGGTATAAAAAGGTGGAGGTCTTTAAACATTCTAAACGTCTGCTATCTTGTTATCATAACATTTGACTGTTATAAACAATGAGGCCAATACAGAAAAATACTTATTAATATCACACTATATGATGGAAACAATAAAATGTATTGTTCCAAATCTTCTGGTCTTTAACTTTTCTATATTTGAATTTGAGCCTAAAAGCTTATCTGTCCAGGATGGAGTAGGGCCTTTGAGATAGGAAGTCTCACATAAGTGTTTTATGTCATCAAAATCTAATGAGCAATAATTCTTTGTGTAATCAGGGCTTTTCATCAAAAAAGTTCAATCGTACAATGGAACTGGATCTAAATTGACTCCATGGAATAAGAAATTACAATGTTCTTGTTGCTCTATTTGGGAATACTGATGTTGATGTTTAAATACCAATATGTTTGGTATGGCTGTTAAGCCAATACTTTCTTATGTTACAGTTACAAAAAAGTGCCTGGTGAGATTTATCTCATTATATAATCCAAAAATCTTTGACTTTACCAATAAAATGTGATAGTTGAGGACCATGGAAATTTGGAATTAAAGTCCAGAAAATAAAGATGGAACTCAACCAATTACAGATTTCTCTGTCTTTCAATAGCAATGGGCTTAAATTTTCACAAGTTGACCAGTTTGAAGGGATGAATTTAAATTGCAATTTGGAAAAACATTTTGGCTCATTGGTATTGGTAGAGCAAAGCCAACCAGCAATATATGCTGTAATAAGTATACCTTGTCACTGTAAGTTACTACTAAAGTGTATTTATCTTTTAATGACAAAATGATTTCTCACCTTTTCACCTTGGAGTCCATTAAATCCAGGTAATCCAGTATCACCCTTCTCTCCTTTCTCTCCTCTACCCTAAAATAACAAGGGAGGCAACTAAGATTATAAGTAGTTGGGTTAGAACTAAGAGGGATAACTTATATTATAAATAGTAAGGACTAAGGGAGATAACTAAGATTATAAGTAGGTAAGGTCAGAACTAAGGGAGATAACTTGAATATAAGTAGTTTATAATAGAGCTAAGGGAGGTAAATAAGATTATAAGGAGGTTAGGTTTTAACTAAGGGAGATAACTAAGATTATAAGTAGGTTAGATTTGAACTAAGGTAGATAGCCAAGATTATGTGATGGTTAGTTCGAGTTAAAAGTCTTTCAGATCTATATGGTGTGGATACTTAAATATTGAAAATCATATGGTACCAACAAAAAACAAAAAAAGAACACTTGAAAGCATACTATACTGTGTGAGCTTTGATAACTGCTGAAGGCCCTAGTGTGACCTGTACTTATTCACATCTTTGTCCTTTGGTCTTTGATTATTAGGTATCTCATTGGCAATTATAGCACATATCCTTATGTTTATATGTGATCTCAAGGATAACCAATCAACTCAAGCCATTATGTCAAAGCCTAAATCATCCTGATGCTTGAAAAGTTATAATTTATTTCTACAGTGACTACAAGTTGTTTAGTTTTATCACCATACCTTTGTTTGCTTGTTGTCATTGGTTTGGATTCAATATAATCTTTTCTTTTGTTCATAACTTGTAAGACGGACACTGTTTATATTATAAAATGACAATGAAAATAACAATAATTTGAAATTCCTGTTTTTATATTCAATTTTATCTGAGTAGAACAGGAATTCAAGGAGGTAACTGATGGACTTACTGGTTCTCCTTTTGGTCCAGCTGGTCCTTGTGGTCCCTGAAATTGATAACTTCTGTATTACTTTTATAACAAGATATAAGAACACACAATGTCAATATTTATCTATCTAAAATAAATTCGAACAGGACATTTGTTCATTTTTTTTAATTTCAATGAGGATTATAATGGATGGTTGTTAAAAATTAGAAGCAGTAAATATAAATTTTCAAGTTTATAGAAACTTGCCAACCCAGCAGGGATCAACCCAAAAAATCCCTTCTCGTTTCCTGTTCCACATATCGCAATTCCTAGAAGTATGGTAAAATTGAATAAGAATCATAGACATTCACAATTTTGTTAGTTCATATTGCCAAAGCTTTAGTTTCAAGTTGTTCGCAATTCAGGTGGTTTTTTTTTATTCCATACTACTGTCTTGTTTGTGTATTGTTCTCTTGATTTTGATATTTTATTCAGTTAACCTAATTGGTTGAGATTCATCAACCAATTTATTCATGGCGGACACCTACAGTGTTTCAATAAGTTAAGTTCGCACAGGCTTTTTTGTTAACTTATTGCTAAGTGGTATTGACCCCATTAAGTTTCTCATAGTCAACAAATATTATCATTCAAAAAAAAAAAAAAAAAAAAAAAAAAACAGAATCTTTTGGAGATGTTGTGTTATGTCTGGGAACCTCCTTTGTATAAAAACTTTGCCATCAGCAATGCCAGATTTTTCATTAATATCATTAAGGAAGCACTGAACTAATTCAGTTCTTCCAAAGGTTGATAATGAACAAAAAAAATCATTCCAATATATATTATTTATTAGCAACATTAAAACACTTCCTCCTGACTGACACCTGTTTAGTTGCCAGACAACAAATTAATTGTAAAAACATATAACAGGTGCATTAAAGGTATTAGCACCTGTGGAATATTTCAATTAATTTTCACATACATCATTCAGCTTACTCTTTTTTTAGTTTTACAAACAGCATTTTTTTTTTTTTTCATTTTTCAAAGCTCTGATTAACAACAACGTCAAGAACAGACCTACAGTATTGAGACATCTAAAGAAGTAACCACAAATACTACTATTTTAAAAAATAAAATTATTGTTAATACTGTGGAAATGAATAAATGGCTCTAGGATCATTCAGCAAACATAAATGGCTTGTTAATGTGTAAAGATCTTTGGAAAAGATCTTTTAAATTTGACATTTTTAAAGTCATACTTGTCTGGTTCATTAGGTCCAAAGCAACATATATTGAGGACCTTCAAGGGACATATCTGTAAAAAATTTAGTCTCAATTGGTTCACTGGTTTTTTTTAGAAATAAAGATCTTTAAATTTTTTACCAGTCAGCCCCTTGAATACATCTTTGGACTTTTCATCACAACTAAAGTAACAACACATAGTAATATTCCTTCAAAGGAACATTCAAGCAAGGTTTAGTTTCTTGTCACTTCACGTGGTCTTGTTCATATCCAGAATGACCTGTACGAAATATTCCACACAGAATGAACACGGAATATAGTAGGAATATTGCATTGAATTCCTATCTGAAAAGAGTGATATTCTATTTAGACAGTAGTAGGAATCTACCCAGAAAAAAGCCTGAAAATTTAAATTACCAGGAATATTCAAATAAGCAGGAATAATTTGGCAGGAAAATAAAATTCCTACTAGAAAACCTGGTAGGAATTTTTCAAAATTCCACCCAAAAAAAAAAATTTCTATTAGGAATCTAAAAATATACAAAATGTAAGTGTATATTCACAAATACACAACTGGGTCAATCATTTAAGTTTGAATCTCAACAACAAAGAACAAAGGAAATGCATGGAATATATTCATTTTAAAACTAGAGGCTCTAAAGAGCCTGTGTCGCTCACCTTGGTCTATGTGCATATTAAACAATGGACACAGATGGATTCATGACAAAATTGTGTTTTGGTGATGGTGATGTGTTTGTAGATCTTACTTTACTGAACATTCTTGCTCCTTACTATTATCTCTATCTATAATGAACTTGGCCCAGTAGTTACAGTGGAAAATATTTTGTAAAAATTTACAAAAATTTACAAAATTTATGAAAATTGTAAAAAATTGACTATAAAGGGCAATAACTCCTTAAGGTGTCAATTGACAATTTTGGTCATGTTGACTTATTTGTAGATCTAACTTTGCTGTACATTATTGCTGTTTACAGTTTATCTCTATCTATAATAATATTCAAGATAATAACCAAAAGCTGCAAAATTTTCTTAAAATTACCAATTCAGGGGCAGCAACCCAACAACATGTTGCCTGATTGGTCTGAAAATTTCAGGGCAGATAGATCTTGACCTAATGAACAATTTTATACCATCAGATTTGCTCTAAATGCTTTGGTTTCAGAGATATGAGCCAAAAACTGCATTTTACCCTATGTATTATTTTTTTGCCATGTCGGCCATCTTGGTTTGCGGGCAGGGTCATCGGACACATTTTTTAAACTAGATACCCTTATGATGATTGTGGACAATTTTGGTTAAATTTGTCTTAGTAGTTTCAGAGGAGAAGATTTTTGTAAAAGATTACAAAAATTTACGAAAAATGGTTAAAAATTGACTATAAAGGGCAATAACTCCTTAAGGGGTCAACTGACCATTTTGGTCAAGTTGACTTATTTGTAGATCATACTTTGCTGAACATTATTGCTTTTTACAGTTTATCTCTATCTATAATAATATTCAAGATAATAACCAAAAACGGCAAAATTTCCTTAAAATTACCAATTCAGGGGCAGCAACCCAACAACGGGTTGTCCGATTCATCTGAAAATTTCAGGGCAGATAGATCTTGACCTGATAAACAATTTGTCAGATTTGCTCTAAATGCTTTGGTTTCAGAGATATAAGCCAAAATCTACATTTTACCCCTATGTTCTATTTTTAGCCATGGCGGCCATCTTGGTTGGTTGGCGGGGTCATCGGACACATTTTTTAAACTAGATACCCCAATGATGATTGTGGCCAAGTTTGGTCAAATTTGGCCCAGTAGTTTCAGAGGAGAAGATTTTTGTAAAAGTTTACGGACAACGGACGACGGACGCAAAGTGATGAGAAAAGCTCACTTGACCTTTCAGGTCAGGTGAGCTAAAAAATGGACTTTTGAAAAGTATAAGGAAACTGCAATATATGCAAGCTAGAAATTGTGTTATACATGTACATGTTAATTAGCAAAAATGTTATTTAGATGAAATTAAGAGTTATGAACAAATAATGAGTAAAATTATGCACTATTGTTGAATTAATTGATTACTAAATATATTTGGCAGACAGATCAAAAATTTCATCTTAAAAGTATAACAAGAGGCTGTCAGAGTGAATACCTTCAGTCTACATGAGCCATATTTTCTTACATTTCAATATTGTAGTTGTTTGACCCTTGCAGCATTGTGTTCCAACACAACTTTTCATTCTTTTTCCCTCCAACTTTTGAATTTGTGAACTGGAACTTGGTTGCATTTAACACAGCAAAATTTGTGTCATTAGCAAACAGAAATCAGTTTTAGATACCGGTAATTAAAAAGATTCTAGGTAGAAAGATTTTCTGGTAGGAATAAATTAATTCTGGTAGGAATAAATTAATTCTGGTAGGAATCTTGTAGTAGGGAAAAGAATAATCTAATCATATTTTCTGTCCAAATTCCCACTTAAGATTTTCAAAACAGAAAAAATCCATACAGACTTTTAAAATTCCAGCTAGATAGTAGGAGTTTGTTAGTAAGAATATAAAAAAATCCAGTCAGAATTTTGTTCATTTTCCCTGTTCTCCTACTTTCTATATAGAATCTTTGATTCTAGGTAGATTCCTACTAGTGTCTAGGTGGAATCCTACTACTTATTTCGTATGGGGAGGTCTTCCATTTTCCATGTTAAGATTGAGGTCTTCTTTCATGTCAAGAATAACTCTTCTACTATAACCTCAAGATCAAGGTTATTGTTTTCTAAATAGGTATTTTAATAGGATAGTATATATAAATGCCACTGATGTATTGAATATCTGTCATAATGTTTTATATTCTTTGTTTTATTATTAAGGTAATTTAGAATCATAAAGATTGGGATTCAGCCATTACAGGAAAACATATATATACTATACTTACTGGTACTCCTTCACCCATTTGTCCCTAAAATTATAAAAAAAAAAAAATTCATAAAGTAAAAGTTCAAAACATTATGTGTATATCAAAAATATACAATTTTCACAAAAGCAAACCTGTGACATGATTCTCAGGTTAGGTGGAACTGACATGCCCCCACACCCCTCCTCTCCCCAAAATAATCCAATTACATTCTATATATGCATTTCTCAAGCTTGGCACACTGAACCAGTCACCAGTCATTGCTGTTGGCTTCTGGCAATTCTTTGCTTACTGTAAACCACTAGGCCTTCAAAGTTTTACAAGACCCAAATTAAATTGTTCATTGCTTGGTGTGAATATGTTCTCTATGAAACAAAAGACCAGAGATTATAAAACATGAAATTTCTTAGTGGAAAAAACAAACTCACTCACAACAACAAATGAGAATTATGACTTTCAGAATGGCTGAAAATTATCTCATTTGCAACCATACTACATCTTCTCCTTTTGAGTTAACCATGAAGCCTCAGTTTGTGAGTATTCAAACCTTTTAGAGCAAATATTCAGAATAAAACTCATATGAAATACTGATGACAAAACCCTGATAAAAAACAATTCTATATGATACCTTTCAAAAAATACATTCTTATCATGAAAGCATTGATATAATATCTACATTTATAAATGACATGGACGTTAAATAAAATTTATCAATGGTTCATGCATTTTGTTAAGTGTAAATTAAGGTGATCAACATATTGTTTGAAGATATGATACAAATGATCCTCATTATCCAACAAATAAGCTTTTCATATGGTAACTTAGTATATACTTAACCTTGGTGACAAAATAATTAAAGTATACCAGCATGCATGCTTACAATCTAAATAAAACATTTCATCAGATACTTAAATAAATATATATTTCTCTACAACATAAAATAAAACAATAAATGATTATATTTCTAAAGTACACCACTATTTTGGGAGATAACGTAATAAATATTTCTGAACATTAACAGGATTTCAGTAAACCTACATCACATGTTTGACAATTCAGTTCCCAGTATCATGAGTAAAGTGATTGAAAATTAAACTGAACTGGTCAAGATATACAACTTATTTTCCTCATATGTTACAACTCATTACGGTCAAGCTGCTGACTAAATACATGAAATATAAAGTCATTCTGTTCAGTAGTTCCTGAGAAAAGTGTGACAGAAATATTTGTTGCACCAAAAGATGCAGGGACAATCTGATTACAATAAATTGGGATATAATATTGCAGAAGGCAATCTATATATAGTTATATATAAATATATGTGTGTGTATAAAGGGTGCAAAAGTTGATGAAATAAGTGAAGCATGCATAATAGATTATAAAGATCAACTGACCAAGGCTTATTCAAGTTCACCAAAGTTTCAAAAAGCTAATCATCACATATTGAAAACTCTGGACCTAAAGTAACACAGGGTCCAATGTATTAAAAGTGAATTTTCTGTTCAAACCTAAAGAAACTTCAACCAGTTCTAAAAAAAACTTTATCATAAATGTAGAAATTTTTCAACAAGTGTAACAATTATTCAGATCTAACATTTTCAAGAAATTTGGAAACAAAATTCAATTATCGTAAATCTGTATTGTAAAGTTAAGGTCATTAGATATTTTGGAATCATTTTTTTCGGTAGGATCTGGTTTAGTTTCAACACGACCAAATTACTAGTTGCTACAAATAATTCTGTCTTTAATACAACTTTCATCTTAAACATGCTATCAATCAAGAGCTTTGTACACACCAATGCTAAAAAGCTTTTAATTTTAGAAAACTGTTACATGTGAATTCAGACTGTTTCTGTAATTACATGTTTATTACAAGCAAGACAAAAATTGTATAGGGATTCCAAGTCATCATCTCTATGGTATGAAAAGATTCAGCTCAGCAAGGTATTTTTTTACTTTATTTTTTGGGGGGAGGGGTTATAAAGGTGGTTGGATTTGGAAAAAAAAGGGAAATTTCCCCAGCCCATTAAATCTCAATGTGTTTATTCTTTTGGTTGTGAAGCATTTTAAGATTATTGATTTTTTTGCTCTATTTTTGCCATCAATTTTGTTTACTTTCTTTCACTATTAAACAAACATAAACTTCAAAAAATCAATTAGACAATGATAAACAGGAATATTTTAGTCTGAACTTATCTTCATTATAAGCTTCTATAATACAAAACTCAATGAAAACAAAATTTCAATTATAGCCCTCCTATTCCCATATACATATCTCTTTGAACATTTTCTAAATTTTCTTTAAAGTTTCTTATTCATACTTTTTTTTTCTTATACTAAGCTTTATTCTCAAGTGATATGCATGTATGATAAATGTATATAACTTATTGAATGCAGTCATTTGCAGTTGTGAATCAACATTCTTAATGGTAAAATCATTTGCCATGCATATAAATTGTATGCAAATTGGTTTGTCATGTGTGATTACAGATTTTTGGATAAAGACCAAGGTGCTAAAATAAAACACCAACCGGGAATCCATTGAAACCTCGGTCTCCTGTCTTGCCCTGAAATATATAGTATTTCTTAAAAATAAGTTCAAATTCTGAAGACTTGATTTTACTTTTTTAAAAACTTCCATGCTAAGTAAAGGACCAAAAGTTTATATTTACTGTATGCTTGCTTGCCAAAAAAAAAGTTGAAGTAAGTACACAGGTTCATGTCTATCTACTACCTATAGACCATAGCCATAGAATCCCCAAGGTTAAACATCTACTACCTATAGACCATAGCCATAGAATCCCCAAGGTTAAACATCTACTACCTATAGACCATAGCCATAGAATCCCCAATGTTAAACATCTACTACCTATAGACCATAGCCATAGAATCCCCAAGGTTAAACATCTACTACCTATAGACCATAGCCATAGAATCCCCAAGGTTAAAATTCAAATAAAAAGTTACTCTATACAGGACATGACTTATAGCAGTTTTTAAAAAAAAAAGTATATAATTTTTTTTACATTTTAGGCATTTACTTGTAGTTTAGTAAAGGTTGCCTGCCAGAATAAATTTCGTTTCAACACAAATTATGTTGATTTTTTGTTTGTACCTTTTACTAACCGAAAAGAAAAATTAGATGGCATCATTGCTTTAACGTTAGTAGGTCCTCTTTCTGAAATTCTCATGAAAATGATGCCTACCAATCATAAAATACCTCCAACAAACAACAGGCTGCCATATATTATTTCCCACTTTACAGTTTTAAATTCTGATTGATTGATTGTTGCTTTCTTAACTTCCAGTGGCAAATATTTCATGCATGATCAGGATGATTTAAATTCTGAGTCAGACATTAAACATAAAGATTTATTTAACCCTAAAAAATAAATGAATGGAAATTCTTCAACACTGAGAGATAATAAAGGCATGCTTTAGAATCTACTGCCAAATATTTCTGGAAGGGAAATCTTCTTTACTATATATTAATCAAAGATAAGGTCAGGTGATTAATATTTTAGTGCAGTAATTTGGAAAATTTCAAATAAAGTTGTGAATTTAATAAGACATCTGTATGTAATGATGATATTCTAACATGATATAGCTTTTAAGATGATAATCACCTGATGAACTTCCTATCAACACAATCAATTGACAAAAATCTAATCATGTTCTATAATTTGTAAAGATGAAACAAGATATGATATCTGTGGCATATTGTAAAACACAAACTGGCACACTTAATGGAACTGGTTCAGGTTGGAACTAAGGATGTTGATCCCGAATAAAACCAAAAATCTGTCCATGTATTATAATTTAATGTTCATTAATCATCTGATTTGCCCTCATAAATAACCAGCAAACAAAATCTTGATGTAGTTATAAAAAACTGCCATAACACAGAAATTGTGATGGGTCTTTTGTTATTATCTGACATTGTTTTAACATACTCCATTACCATAGACATCCCATTAATTCGAATATGCCAATTTTAGGTGGGCCATCAGACACAAAACAGAATGATACATTTATTAACAAACTTTCTTTTGTAAATATTTACCAAGTCACTAAGGATGTGCAACATCTGCTTAATACTGGTAATGTTTATATAACACTAGGTCTGTTTTTTGGAGAAAAAACTGATTTTAATCCAAAAATCTTCCAACACTCTACATCTTGCAACATTACATAAAAATAAACACAATAATTTGTATGTTTACAAAATGCTAAAAGAAAACAACTATCTTAATCTGTTTACTAAATAAACTTAAGGTAAACTAATTTGTTCATGATTTGCATAGGATGAAATGTAAATATTTTTCAATTGATTTTTTTTTAAAGAATGTGGAAGTTATTAGCAACATGAAAGCATGCTAGGCCTTCTCAAAATTAATCTCAGAATCAATACATCCAGTGTTTTACAGTTCAAAAAGTCTTGCATGTATGACAAAGTATGGATTGCCCTATAGTCCTAAAGTATATGAATGTTATCTTTTAGAAACCTTTATAGTCACACAAGACAGTAAAAAGTAAAGTTTTAAATACTTGTCCCCTTTCTGCCTTTTAACTACTCTATGTGACCGACTTCTTTGTGGATTATTTGTACATTTCTGACCAACAACATCTATGAAAATTGTGATAAGGCTAGTATTTTGTGTAAAGTTTTAGCACTCTGCAATAGGAGCAGCATAGTTGTACAATGAATGTCAAGAGATCTTGACAAGTGTAAGTGAAGCTATAATTATATAGGTTAAGCTATATTTGTCCTATACAGGAGCATATTAAGGAGTTCTGTTTAAATATATGGAAGCTGTTTTAGTTTAATACATTATTTATATACATGTTGTGTTTAAAATATAAGTGCTATAAATTAATTGAATAAAAACTGTACCGGAAAGCCGCTGTTTCCTTGGATACCCTGTAGTACAGTAGACAGACATAAAACATAGATCTATACATATATCAGGTTCTAATCTTATAACTAGAAGATTAACTAAATTATTCACTATTCCTGTAATTCATAAGATGAAATAAATTATTCATTCAAGGTTAACTAAGATAAAATAAACTTTCTTTGAAGATAGAATGCCTGATATTTTGAATACATTACATTTTTCATACAACCAGATATTGTTATACACAAATTCATGCAATGTGAGCTTTTAATTGGGTATTTTAAATGGCATGTTATTTTACTCAAAGGTATGTTAACAACCATTGTTTGGCCCATGAAATTGCAGATATCAGCGATTGCCTTACCAAAAGAGATATTTTACCCTCGTAACATCTTTGTATAAGCCATTGTCTTACCAAAAGAGATATTTTACCATCAGTAACATCTGTGTTTAAGGCATTGCCTTACCAAAAGAGATAGTTTAGCCTCAGTAACATCTTTGTATAAGGCATTGCCTTACCAAAAGAGATATTTTACCCTCAGTAACATCTTTGTATAAGGCATTGCCTTACCAAAAGAGATATTTTACCCTCAGTAACATCTGTGTATAAGCCATTGCCTGACCAAAAGAGATATTTTACCCTCAGTAACATCTTTGTATAATCCATTGTCTTACCAAAAGAGATATTTTACCATCAGTAACATCTGTGTATAAGGCATTGCCTTACCAAAAGAGATATTTTACCATCAGTAACATCTTTGTATAAGCCATTGTCTTACCAAAAGAGGTATTTTACCATCAGTAACATCTGTGTATAAGGCATTGCCTTACCAAAAGAGATAGTTTACCCTCAGTAACATCTTTGTATAAGCCATTGCCTTATCAAAAGAGATATTTTACCCTCAGTAACATCTTTGTATAAGCCATTGCCTTATCAAAAGAGATATTTTACCCTCAGTAACATCTGTGTATAAGCCATTGCCTTATCAAAAGAGATATTTTGCCCTCAGTAACATCTGTGTATAAGCCATTGCCTTACCAAAAGAGATATTTTGCCCTCAGTAACATCTGTGTATAAGCCATTGCCTTATCAAAAGAGATATTTTACACTCAGTAACATCTGTGTATAAGCCATTGCCTTATCAAAAGAGATATTTTGCCCTCAGTAACATCTGTGTATAAGCCATTGCCTTACCAAAAGAGATATTTTGCCCTCAGTAACATCTGTGTATAAGCCATTGCCTTACCAAAAGAGATATTTTACCCTCAGTAACATCTGTGTATAAGCCATTGCCTTATCAAAAGAGATATTTTACCCTCAGTAACATCTTTGTATAAGGCATTGCCTTACCAAAAGAGATATTTTACACTCAGTAACATCTTTGTATAAGGCATTGCCTTACCAAAAGAGATATTTTACCCTCAGTAACATCTGTGTATAAGGCAACTTGTATCAAATGATCTTTTAGAGTAAGGCTTTGACTGACATCTAAATATTATTGACAAGCTCTCAAAATGAGGCTATTTTGACAGTTCTTTTTTTAAAGCTAACAGTCTGAACATTTTGATTTTCAAATTCATGGGCCAAAATGTGGCTTCATCATACCATTTCCATAATATTCCCAAACAGGCTTTATTGATATGTAAGAGTTATGATTTATTGTTGATCACTTTTCCTCACAGACGTGCAGATTTTTTTAATAATATTTGTATTACTATAATAAATAATAATCATTTTAAGTTAATCTAAGGTCAACATTATTACACTTTATGTATCATTGTCATTATTCTTACAATTGTGTCAGCTGAATACATCTTTATCTAAGTATAATCCTATAAGCTGTATTTACTTTTGGAAATAAATCATTTTATGTGCATTGACTGCTACTAATCATAAAATTATTTAAAATACTTTAAATTGTATGAAGAAACTTAGAACTGTTAATCATTCATTTTCTTCTCTAAAATAACAGGAACATGTACTATAATCATGTAACTTTACAAAGACAACAATTAAGAGCAGTAAAAGTCTTTATACATACTTGGTCTCCTTTCTGTCCAGGCGCACCTGTAATAAAAAAAGTTATTATGTATTACAAAATATAGCTATGTGAGCCTAGTCCAACTACGAGTACGACCCCTGATATTTGGCTGAGGAAATACTCATACCCCCCAATATATGGATAAGGGGGTACTAATCTCCAGATATCACCTATTACATTAGTCCTACTACAATAGTGGAATCTTGTTTTTAATCAACACTTGCAAATCATGCCCTTTTTCATGGAGCTATACATGTAGATCATACTTCAAAATTATATAAGCTTCATATTCTTTCCCAATTTGCATGAAAAGCAGAATAATTTTTATTTTGTGTCTTCTAACAGCAAATTTACAAAATTTTTATTTTGTGTCTTCTAATAGCAAATTTCTCTTACAGCAAATTTACAAAATTTGTATTTGTGTCTTCTAACAGCAAATTTTTTTATTTGTGTCTTCTAACACCAAATTTACCAAATTTTTATTTTGTTACTTCTAACAGCAAATTTACAAAAACTTCACATGACATGTTCGCCTTATCTCACAATGTTTATATTTTTTTAAAAAAAAATAATAAATGTTTCTTGTTAAAAATGATGGTTTTCAGCAAAATATAAAAAAAATTACATAAAAATAAGAAGATGTGGTATGAGTTCCAACGAGACAATGTATGACAGAAAAAAATCTTTATGTCATATATTATAAAATAAAGTAAGATAAAAAAATTAAAATTCTAGAAAAGTCAGTTCAAATTTTGATAATTATCTCTAGTGAAAACTTACTATTCATTAATGAGAAATGCAATAACTGTATCTTAACCTTATTTTATGTAATATTCTTCTTATATAATTTAAATGTGTCATTTTTTTTAACACAAATGAGTTAGTCTTACGTCAAACTAACTGATTTAGTTTGTGCTTGTTGTCATTCAGGGAAATTTTTGCAATGTAGATTGGGTTTTTCAATGCTAAAAGGAGGTTTTTGATTCAATTTATTCCAATTTTTTAAAAGACTCTATGATTAAGAGCATGCTTGACATACTGTACAGATACCTGTCTACATATCTGACAACTTCTCAAAATTTCCAGAGGGTATTTTATGCATAATTCATCTCTTAAACTAGTCTTAAGTATATTACATCTAATGTTCTATGGTTTTGAATGAGTACCCTATTTTATGTATGTCATTACAACTCCTGTGACTGTCTGTTTTGGGGTAGTCAGTTTATATATTGGAAGATTTCAAGAGTCAAACCAACAACTGAACTCTCATGTGAGAAATCTTCCATAAATGGGGAAAGCTGGCAATTATCAGTCAAGTGTTGCAGACTATATGTTGACCTTTAAATATATCTTTATTCGGGCCTAATTGACTTCTACACCACATCTCCTTTTATTCTTACTTGTTTTTTTACAAAATACCATAAATGTCATAACAAGAAATTTATAACTGTATACAGTAAAATACCATAAGGGTAAGGCATGTGGAAGAGGTTACATTTTCATATATGAGGGTTGTAAAGGGTTATTTTCGTGCAATGTGTTTTGCCAGTTTTATTTTCACGTGCAGCAGTGAAAAAGGTTCGTTATTCACCATGTTTCGTGAAATCGGTAAAAAGATCAACGTGCAAGAAATCTTTAATTGTTTGTTCATCGTAAAATGGCACTTTTTTTTTGCGTTCTTCCGTGCAGATACCCCCCCCCCTTTACACCCCTCATATATATATATGAATTCTCCTCTTATTGTAAAAATCCTAACCCAAAGCCCAGTTAGACAATTTACAAGATCAGATCAAACATGCATGTGTTAATATAAGGTATAGGCTACGTTCATACTATACAGAAAAAGTGTTTGTGCCGCTAGCAGAGTCCAGGAACATATATATTGATATACTGTTCCCAGCAGAGTCGTAGGCCCCCCCCGAGTAAAATTCCATACAGCATACCGTATTTAACGTCTCTGGTCATAAGAAAATAAGAATCGGGTGGTAATCATTAAAACCATAAGCGTCTTTTCCTATCTCAATTCCCCTTTATGGAAACCTCTGCTATGGGGCTGTTCAACATGGGTTACAACAACAAACACGAGCCAAATACAGTTCGTACGTAAAAATTTAAGACCGGATGTCTTTATTATAAAATCTAAATCGTTCCCGGATATTCTTTGATCCGAATATTTTGGAGAAAAAAATAATTATAAAAAATCAAGGACGTATGTTAGTTATAAGACCTTGAAAAATGAAAAAGACAACACCGGCTAACTTCTAGACAAATAGACTATACTGCGAAAAGGTAGGTTTTTTTCTTTGCTTCAGTATCACTTTCAGAATCCCCTTTAAGTTCCGTCATCTCCTACGCCAATAAGGGTCCTCGCTCAGTAACTGCTGGAACTATTATACTACTGTTAGTATTATAGTCCCAGGTAACTGTTAGGTCACTAACGTTAAAAACAGACGTTAACTGTTCAATCCTAATGATATCCAAACTTCATTAAACTACCGGAATCCATCGCTTACTCTTTAAAACTTGTCAAAATTCAGGATTAAAACAATACATTATAAACACCATAATAATTTACTCTCAGCGTGTAAAATCGTTAGAGGTTATTATGATAACATAATATAATTGAGATATAACATTTACTATACATTACAGTTCATTATAAAAATATTCCGAATGCTTTTACATTATAAAAATAGCATGTACCAAATTATTTACCAACACTGATACACTTCAAAATTGTTACCATATTTCAAGTATGCTTTAATCGTAGAGAAACTTATTTCTCACCCAAAATGATGCCAACAGTAAAATAACGAACTTCATTTTTTGTTAAAGAAAAATGTTTGCATGCGCTAAAGGAATTTGGCTTAAATGTTTCCAATAATATACCAGACTTAAAATTTTGTACACCAGACGCGCGTTTCGTCTACAAAAGACGCTCGAATAAAAAAAAAACTTGAAAGGCCAATTAAAGATCATTAAAGTACGAAGTTGGAGAGGTCTAATGCAGTCCTGTTTTTTTTTTCTCGAATAGTTGGTCCTATAACTCAATATGGATTATGTACGGACGGCAACGAACATTAAATTACATATGAAAATGCAGAGTACATTTCAGTCAGTCACGCGATATAATGAAAATGTTCCTAGATTCATTTTCATACTGACACCCCTATCTATGGCACGCCGTCGACATCAATTCAACGTTTTATGTCATTCTTTGGTGTGATATTTGTCGTACGCATTTCTTGGTCTATAAGTCTGAAACTATCTCTTACAGAAAAAGTTCTTTTTTTGTGTATGCCATTCATTCATAGAAACACATGTTTAATATGTGAAATCATTGAAAATTGTAGCAGTAGTATTGACTTTTAATTAACTAATACGAAACATGTATCTGTCAGTAACCATTAGTAAGTATCATCCTCTGATGGTAGAACTTCAACTCTTCAATAAATCATAACTGTAGTAAAACGACTACATCTTATCTCGTATCTTGATTATACCTCATTACATAAACTACAAACTTCAAGTACAGCAATACTAAAACACTTCAAACAGAAATGCGCATCTTAAGCATGTGACAAACATCAGTGTCTTGTCTTACAGAAAAGAGAAAATCTTGTCACATCTTCTAAATTCTCATTCCCATCCAATGACTGGGGATTTGATTAAAGTATTTATCCGTCCGACTGAGTCGCGTAGGAGGTCCATATTCGAGACAAATATATAAGTCATACATGTTTTTCGATCGAATAAAAATAAGATGATATTTTATTGGTTTTTAATACAAAATTATAGGATTGCAACCAAAACTATCATTTAAACAACACACACATACATATCTATCAACACTTACATATATATCTATATATCACCCCCCCCCCCCCCCAAGATTAGAATAAGAAAAAGTTATAATATGTTTAAAAGCGAAATCAGAACTTATTGACCTATTACCATCGTCGACTTGGCAAGACATCCTTTTTGTACCCCAACCCACTTGATGTATATATGTCTATGTATGTTATAAGGGGGTTACCATTGATTGTATTTTTGTTTTGGTGATGTTGCTCAATCTAATGTTATCTGTTCAAAATATTGTGGGCGTACAAAATTTAGGTCATCGTGACCTCGTGATCGAAAATGAAAGAGGAATAGCATTCATCGTGTTGAACGTGTCCTATAAGGCTATTCAAAAATGAATTTACTGTTCTTCGAATTTGCTCGCACCAAAATTTCTTAAACATAGAAAATATTTCCCGCCATTCCCTGAAAAGTTTTTAAATTATCGCTCCATCTAAATTAATCAAAACTTTTAATTCTTAAACGTCTTCGCTCGCCAAACAATTCACATAAATTTAAAAAAAAAATGGTGTTAAGAAATTATTTTTCGCTCCTAATCTCTGAAGAATAAACTAAAAAAAATCACTTCCTCTCTTGCTAAAACATTCATTCCTAGAAGACAAGTAAAACAGTTTGTTCGCTAACTCGCTCAAATCTTTGTACATTAAAGTCCGAAGAACAAGTATTTGCTTTGGAGTGGTCTTCAATTTCAAAGTGAAAAATTAACTAAAAACGGCGATGGTGTGTTGTTGTATTACTACGGCTATATATACAACATGCTGTATAGCGTAGTGGTTCAACTTTATTCCACTGTGAACACAATTTAAAAAAAAATGGTTAATACATCTGACACGAACTCTGTGGTACTTTTTATATTGTTTTTATATCATTTAAACGGAATTGCTATTGAAAAAGAAAAATCTATTTTTTTTAGATAAATCTATAGATTGCGTTAAGAAAGGACAAAGTTCACTTTTTACCAAATATGTCCTTGAGTTTCAACTTTATCATAAAACATCAAAACGGCCATAACTTGGTTCTTAACTTGATCTATTTCAAAAGCCTTGTTGTTCGGTAAAATGTGCTCTACCGTTTTAAGGTTTTTCATTCGGTAATATTTGATAAAATAAAAGAGACTTGCATACAACTTAATGTTATAAACTATGATACATTTCTCATGCAATTA